ACCACTGCTGCAGTGGAGAGAAAGACAAAGTGTCACTTCGGTCCTGGGTGCTGTTGTCATTGCAAAGAGGAAAAGAAGCGGCTGTGATCTCATTGGTTGTGTCGTGGGTAGTAGTGTTTTGTAGGCTAGAATAAGAACTTAATCACCATTTATAAAAAGAAAACTAAGAACATGTTTTCCTTGGAAATAGCTAAACAGTTTTAAAGTGGATGATCATTTCATTGTGTGGTTAAAGATAGATTATTCAAGTCCATGTTCTTGCTTCACTCCTCCAATGTATGTTATATCTAATGTGTAATAGGCACTAGGCCAGGCCCTTGGAATTCATCAGTGGACAAACTTGCTCCCATGGAGTTTGCATTCTAGAAGGTCAAGCGCAAGTATAAGAAAGCATCGTAAATGTTAAAAAGCATGGAGTACTTTGGGACCACGGAGGAGGGGGAAGTAATTAATCTAAGAGGGTCAGAGCTGAGATCGTAAAGTAGAATATGAAGTAGCCAGGTAAAAGAGAAGAGTAAGGATGAGCCAGAGCGTTTCAGCAAATAAAAGAACAGGTGGAAAGGCTAAGAAGTGTGAGTGTCGTCTACTAAAGTAGCATTTTTCAAACTGCAGGCACTTGGACATCTACCAGTAGATTGTGAAATCAGTTTAGTGGGTCTCACACAGATACTTGTTAGAAGGTGCTATGTAGGTATAAAATCCTTACATCGGAGGAAACAGAAGTCTAGTGTGACCACAGCGGAAGATCTTGAGTAGGTGGGGATGATTCCATGATTATATAGGATTTAGTTAAATTTATTAAAGACTTTGGATTTATATTAGAAGAGATGAGAAGGCATTGAAAAGTTTTAATCAGGGCCTGATAGATCTATATTTTCTACATATTCCTTTGAATGCCTAGTCTTTCAAATATAAACTTCAAATTTCTTGGTCCAGTGTTAACACGTATTCCAAAATTGGTTTTAATCTCTTTTTCTAAAGAATCATTCCACTCTTTTTTATACTGGACCCTTCCATTTTGTAAAGATTCCTTGTTTGCCTGAGTGTCTTTGAACCAACAGAAAGATCTGTGAAATTTCCCCTCACAGACCTTTTCTCTGTGTTGTTCACCTTGAATCTCTGGCATTTAGCAAAGTCCTTGGTACCCAGTAGAGACTAAGCAAATCTTTGTTGATGGAGTGTAAATATCCTTAACAGGAGAATTGTTGCATAGCAGCGAAACGACCTTGATGTTGTTTTAGAAAAAAGAAAAAGGTTTTATTAGAAATTCTTTTCTTTTAGTTGAAATCATGTGATAGAACCACATTCAATTACTTAAAAGGTAATTTAACAAAAAGCACTCTTTTGTTAAGACAGTAGCAGAGATAAGAAAAAGAACATCAAACTTTGTGATTTTGGGATTTTGCCCCCTTAGGAGTACAGAGCACTAAGCGATCGGTCATGGCAGGAGGCAGTTCCGCTGTCTCTTCTATTTTGTTTGAACAGAAAGGCATTTTCTGAGCAATCACCACAATTAGTTTATAAAGATGGCCGGGGACAGAGGGAATAAATCAGATTAAAATGTATCACTTATGTGAGATTAATGGAGAGGCAACAGAAAATAGATTTTGATCTAAAAAGAAGTAAAAATAGAACATCTGTACACCCCAGAGAACTTACAAATAAGAATTTAATGATGTCAATTTGTTGCCAGAGGATAATTATTATACTGTCACAGTACTGTGACTTCACAGAATTAGATCGGGAAACCCATCTGTGAAGGAAAAATTTTTTCAGGGTATGGTTTTGATAAGTGGCAAGAGAAGTTATGAAAAATTCATGAAAGGTAGAGTGATTTCAATTTCTGAAACAAATTTCTTTTTAATGTATTTTTGAGATGTGGAAACTTTGCTAATTAGTTTTGTAAATTAGGTTTTATGTATCTTAAACATGAATGCTAGAATCAAAATTTGCTAATATAGGATGGCTTTTAAAACTCATTAAATTTTATATTTATATGTTCTACAGAGTCCTATTTTAAGCTGTGCTTCATAGAACTTAAACTGAAACTAACTTTTATAAATTCACCCTAAGGAAATAATTCTAGACATGGGAAAGTATTATGCACGAAGATTTTCATTTTCATTGCAATGTAATTTAGTCAAGAAAATGTCCTGCTATAGGGAAATGATTTATTAAAATGTGGCTGGCAATCCACTTGAAGAAATTTAACCATTAAAATACTTTTTTGGCCCTGGCTGGTGTGGCTCAGTGGACTGAGCACCGGACTGTGAATCATGGGGTTGTCGGTTCAATTCCCAGTTGGGGCACATGCCTGGTTTTTGGGCCAGGTCCCTGGTGGGGGTGCGTGAGAGGCAACCACACATTGATGTTTCTCTCCCTCTCTTCCTCCTTCCCTCTCTGTCTGAAAATAGTAAATTTAAACATTTTTTAAAAATGCTTTTTTACACCAGTGTTTTCTATAAAATAAAGTGCTCAGTATAAACAAAAGTTCAAATAATATAAAAATATGCAGGACTTAAACAGTGAAAATTGTATTTCAAGTCCTTTTTTACCCTACCAAGATAGGCCAGCCCAGTTCCCCAGAGGTCAGTGCTCTGAGCACTTTGGTAAAAGTCTTTCCAGACTTTTTTCTAACTCAGTGGTTTTCAAATTGTGCTCCAACAAGGGGTTTCCGGGTCTCCTCAAGGCAAGTAAGATGGGAGCTGAGTGGAAACAGGATGCCTCGGCCTGAACTGCTTTCACCTGTTTTATATATTGGGCTTCACATAAAATTCAATTTAAACAAATAATGTCTCTGCATTAAAAAGAAATGTTTGAAAACAATGAGCCTAATTTAGAAAATGAATCCCTAAGTCCCCTACTCAAGAATTCCAGATCTTTCCCAGATTTGGTGATTGGCCACAAGGATTCGCTCAGACTGTCTTCATTTTCCCAGCAGTTTTCTGCCTGGTTGCCATATACATTGTTAGAATATACTTCCCCTTCTTTTTTTCTCCCTCTCTCCAAATCTGACTCTCTCTTTAAGGCTGAGCTCGTTGTTTTGTTCATTCCTTCTTTTAACATGTACTTAGTGAACACCTACACTTTGAATAATATTAAGTGGGGAATATGTAGAATTTTATATAAAAAATTCATGGACTAATAAAGAGTGACCTTCAGTCCTGGCTGGTGTGGCTCAGTGGATTGAGTGCCGGCCTGCGAACCAAAGGGTCGCTGGTTCAATTCCCAGTCAATGTGCATGCGTGGGTTGCAGGCCAGGTCTCCAGTGTGGGGCATGTGAGAGGCAACCACACATTGATGTTTCTCTCCCTTATTTTCTCCCTCCTTTTCCCTCGCTCTAAAAATAAGTAAATAAAATATATATATATTTTTAAAAAGAGTGACCTTCATGTGTAAGTACAGTGATAAAAAGTTAAGAGCATTCGGGATATGGATACTAAAGATATAAGTAGTCTCTCCCTTCTATACTATCTTCAGTGGTGCTTCCTCATATAAAAAGGGCATTTATAATACAGTTACATTTCTGGGTCTTTGGTAGTTATTTGTTCATTTATTAATCAATAGAAGATAATGCAGAGAGTTTACCTGTGAATTGGGGATGAGACCCAGAAAGGAGTTGTTTTCATTCTTGAACAATCAACTATGTCAAAAACAAAACAAAACAAAACAAAACAACAACTTGAATCCAATTTACTGGATGCCAGTGTTGGGCATGAGCTGGGAGGGAGAACCGGAAGGACCTTGGCTCTGTATTCCCGGTTCCCCATGGTCACTTACACAAGTGTCACTACAGAGAATGTCTGTAGTGTCTTCCTTATCATTAGTTGTTCAGTCAGAAAGTCGTGAATTCAAGCTCTGTATCTTTATCTTACTAACTTTATGGCTTGGACATATTACTTAACCTCTCTGAGCCTCAGTTTCCTAAACTGTAATGTATGAACATGTCTATCTCCTAGGGTTTTAAAAAAAGATAATATGAGATAAGTCTGTATAGATGGAGTCTATTCTTTTCGCTTTAAGTGGTATCAGCGTTCTGTAGAATAGGTGGTGGTTCTCCTCTCCTTTGGGTTTAAATTTTTATATATTTTGGAGGATTTATCGATTAGACTCTAGTCCTTTGAGGAAGTAGTGTTTTGTTTTTGGGTTGTTTTTTTGGCTGAGAGTGGCTGTTTAGATAAGCTATTCAATGTTCCTGGTAAGGTAAGTATAAACAATATAGGAAAGTAATAGGGCGAAAGAAACATATAGTGGGGAAATAAATCTCATTCATCATCATCCAGGGTGTTATCCTGACACTCAAAGCACACCGTTGCACCTATGATAAGAAAGCAGTATTAGTAGGTAGCCCCTGAGTCCGAAGGCTGGCCTACTATTTTTCTTCATTATATCTGCCACTTTCTTGTATCTTTTAGATAACAAAAAATGAATAAAGAATTTTAATAGTAACTTCCTAGTTCTCTTTAAGTAGAAAAAACAAAACCCTTGAACTCTAACATTTCTAAATTGTAGGGTTCCAAAGTAACCCCAGGCAAATTCATGATGAATTCTACTTTTCTAATGCATAACTATCTCATTGGGTAGGCTTAGTTCTTCAGTTCACAGTAAACCTTACAGAATGGTTTAAGGTAGTCTGTTTTATTTGCTGATTGTAAAGATTTATTTACATATCTTTTTAAAATGAAAAGATGCATCAGATATGACATTTAAATTTAAAAACAGTATCAGAACAACTTCCTATTCCAGCTTTCATTTTTTTTTTCCCAAACATTGTGGTTTCCTCAAGACCTGTGTTGTTCAGTATGTATAGGCACCGTTCAGTGTGTGTATATATACTTTATTGCATGCTGGCAGTTTAATTATAAGTAGGATGGGTAAGTTGTATAAAATGTAAATATTAAACTTCAATTGATTTTTTTAAATGACAAAAGTGCTTTACTCATTAACAAGAAACATTTTAAAGATTAGTAAAGAATGCATTTTCTGATTTTCAGAAAGATACAAATATAGAAAACTTCACAAATTTGCATGTCATTCTTGCATAGGGGCCATGCTAATCTCTGTATTGTTACAATTTTAGTTTATGTGCTGCTAAAGTGAGCACTCAGTGGATTTTTTAGAGAAAATTGGAACAAAAGAGTTTATCTGAAAATTATAAGCCATGGATGGGTTCAATACGGGAATGTATAATTTTTTTTAATTAAAATATAAAATCCTTACTGGACCAACATGTTTTTGACAGAGAGAGAGAGAGAGAGAGAGAGAGAGAGAGAGAGAGATCAATGTGAGAGAGAAACATCGTTTGGTTGTCTAACCAGGGATCAAACCTGCAACCTGGCTATGTGCCCTGATGGGGGATTGAACCTGCGACCTTTTGGTGTTTGGGATGATGCTCCAACCAACTGAGCCACCTGGCCAGAGCACAATATGTAATACTTTTGTGATTATGTGGTATAGTATATTCCTTAGTAAGGGAAGAAGAAATGGGAAGATAGATTTTGAACCTTTTATGAGAATGTGTAATAATAATTATGATGATGATAATTAGCTAACATTTACTGAAGGTGCAGTCCACTGTTCTAAGCCCTTTGCATGTATTATGTCATTTAATCCACACAATAACTCTATGAAGGAGATATTTTTTTCTTGAGGAAACTGAGATATAGAGACATAGGTCCCACCTCTAGTGAAAATCAGAATTTAAGCCAAAGTAGTTTCACTTGAGAGCCCAGGCTCTTAACTGCTATCAATATCATTAGTGTGTTGACACTTCTTGACATTGAATTTTTTGGAAGCAAATCATCTCTCTTAACTGAAGTGTGAAGATTTGCTGGATGAGTCACTTGAAATTCCCCCATAAAATCACTCAATGCAAGTCATGTTATTTGTTCATCTAATGAAAGCATAGCAAGTATCTTGGTAAGCTATATAGAGTTTCAAACATAGCATAAAGCATTTTCCAGAGATTCCACATGAATAGTACAACTTTGAAAAGGTAGTTAATATTCTGTTTTTGAAAAGGTATTTCACTGAAATACGTATTTTCACTCAGGTATGGGATTTTAACTGTGCGTAGATTTTATAATATGAATTTAGACTCAGGCTACTCCTTACAATAGTCCTGTCTCAGTCCCCAGGGACATAGCTTACTAGGCAATCTAAGCATGTGCTCGAGCGTTAGAAAGGGAGCACCAAAAGAGAGAAAAACATCTAAATAACTTAATGTTTTGTAATTTTTAAGAACACAATGAAGTCATCTTTTTGGGAAAAATACCATTTGTGTCTCAAATTTTGTTTGGAGTTGTTATGGTTTTGAGTTCTGTGTGGTTGATTGTGGAGGAGAGAGACACCGTTGCTGAGATGGTGACCTGGCCCCGCCTCAGAGCCTGGTGGGGAAGAGACAGTTATTGATACACAATCAGCTAACAAATACGATATAAATAAGATCATGGCTCTGAAAAACAAATACAGCGATACATAGTTGTCTGAAAGTGTTTAGGATGTGCTGATTGAAGGAAGGCTGTTGCCTTTGAGTTCTATTGTTCTCACTGCGGAGTGCGTGGAGAGGGAAAAGTAGAAAAGAGAAGAAATTCTAGGGCTCCTGGGAGCTTTAGAAATAGTAAACTGTAAGTAGCCATTAAAAATTACTTTTTAGAATAATACTGATAAGGAAAAACATTTGCCATTGTTTTGAAATGCAAAAAGCAGGATGCAGAACAGGATATAATGTGGACCTATTTTTGTTTTAAATGTGTGTGTGTGTGTGTGTGTGTGTGTGTGTGTGTGTGTAAAATACAGTAATGCCATCAGATACACAAATACGTGATCAGTGATTATCTCTGGATAGTGGGTTTCCAGAATAATTTCATTTATCTTTGTTTTGTTTTTGTTTTTGCCTTGAACACACATTGCTTCTATGGAAAAAAGAACAAAAACAGTAAAAGGGAAACTCTGTGCCAGTTGACATTAGAAGCAGTTTCAAATGAGTTGTGAAAGAAGGGCAGTCAGGATACTTTTACAAGCAAAGACCATTATGTGGCAACTAAGTTGGTTTTGCGGTGACTTGGAAGGTAGTTTCAGCTTGAACTTCAAGCTGGACTTAGAGCCCTTCAGAAAATGGCTCCTTTTTATTTTTCTTTTTTTAAAAACTGGCATTTGAATAAAACAGTGTACAGCCCCGATCAAAGGGTAGAAGAGAGACTTGATTGCAGGGAGTAAAGGTGGTGAGTTAGGTCATTGTTTCGGTTTGATGCCAAGATACTTGGGTAATATTAACACTGTGTACTTGCGGTTTATCTAGCCTGCCTGGCAGTGTCTTGTAGCGCGTTTGTGCACTTGAGCTAACTGCGCAGTCCTGTGTTTTGGGGAACACTCTTGAGGGAAAGCGCCGTCTGGCTTCATCTCCCTGGGTGAAGATGTCCCGGCGATGACGCCAGTGTAGGAGCTGTCCTGTTTCATCACCTAATGGAAGGTACTGTCATCTAGTGTGGCCTGCTCCTCGGGGTAGCCTGGTGCTTTAGCTCTAGGTTGGGGGAAAGGAAAGGGCCCTGGAGAAACAGGAGTGTTCTGAGTGAATGTTTGAAATGGGATAGCTGAAAATGATGAGACACTTTTAATCTTAAAATGTAGAAAAATGATAGCCTTCCAGGTGGCAAGTTCTTTCTCACTTTTCTTAAAAAGTTTTGTTTTTCTGTTAAACTTTGATGCATCAGCTTCCTTTCTTCCTTTCCTTTTTCTTAAAAAGAAGACTTACAACTTTGGCTCATTGGCATCCTTTCTGTACTTAAAATTCTGGAAGCTTTTATTTTCAGTTTAATTATACAAAGAATCAATTGCATATTTTAAGCAGGTCCCAGAAGTGGATTTGCATTTTTAAAACTGAATTCTTTTTAGCAGTATAAGAATGTGTTAAGGGTGAAAGTATGCAAGTATACTTTTGGATAAATTCTGAATAATAATTTCTACTCATTTGAAATGCTGATGAACTGTACTTACCTGGTTTCTCAATTTAAGTATTTCAGATTTGTAAGTACCAGAGAAAAACAGTAAGGAGATGTTTTATTTATGGTTTATTCTTACGTACACTTTTACACAAGTGTGCTGCATCAGTTTATAAAAACACACTGACAAGAAATACTGGTTTCAAAAAAAAATTAGAAAACTGATACCAAAGAAAATAAAACTAGAAGTGTAATGTTAAGGTGAATAAATTGATCATAGATTTGAGTTTCAGGTGTAGCTCTAAATTTCCTTAATGCTAAAGTTGAAAAAAAAAAGGATGTCTCAATTTTTATTAAAGAAAAGTAAAAATACCAGTTTTCAGTAGCATGGCTTTCTGTAATTGTAATTTCTAAATAAAGATTCATGAGGAGGTGATGTATTCTCAGTGGTAGTTTGCAGGAAATTAATGATTGTCAATTACAGGAACAAGTTAATAAGTGTTGGGAAGTTTTTTTTGAATAAGATACAGTTAAGCAATGTTTAATATAGAGTAGGGGAAGTCTACTTTTTTGTTTAAAAAACAGCTTTTCAGCTTCAAAACAAAGTTCTCTGATTCAGCTTGTTTGCTATCCATTCACTGGGTTGTTTCAAACAGTAGCACTAACTGATTTTTCTGGCAATTGTTTGCATCCTGTATTATAAAAATAAAACAAAAACAGAAATAACAAATCTATGTATTGCTATAAATTTAATGGGAATACCTAGTTAAATGAATTTTTGTTCATGTGTTTCAGTTGATTGGTTTGATAGGGGCTAGATAGAATCTAACTGATGCACTTGGTAGAATAAACTGTACTTTGTTTATACAATGCATTTGGTTCCAGGACACACACCATATTTACTCTGTCAACATTTTCTCAGTAAGTAGAAATGGTTTAACTATGGATTGTAGTTTATTTGATTCAATGGCTTCTTTTTGATGTTATCTTTCTTCCAAATAGAGCATTCTTTAAAAAAGTCCTTATTAATTTTTTTTTTTTTTTTTTTTTTTAGTTAAGTTGAGGATTGTGATTCAGAAAACCAATCAGTTATCCTGGGTATGGTTTCTTTTTTCTTTTTTAATTTTTAGTTTGAGAATATGTATATTAAAGCTGGGGACAGTGAATCAAGAAAGGGCCTGGAGTAGAAGCAGCGACCGGAGACCGGAGACCGGAGACCGGAGACCGGAGACCGGACAGAGACCTAGGAGGTGGGGCTGCTTTGACTCTCTAGACGTTAAAGGGAAGGAGTGAGCCTTGGGAGGGGGCGCTGCCGTCAGCTCCCTGGGAAGTCAGAGAAAAGAGGGCCTTGGGGACAGGCTCAGGGGGTAAGCCTGAGACTCGCTGCCGCTGCCCAGGGCTCCCCTGGTCGCAAATCTTGTGGGGTCCCTTAGAGTTTAGGAGACGCAGGCCTGTTGGGGAAGGAGAGGGGGAAGGGAGAGGCACGGATGTGCTCTCGGGAGGGAGAGCATGCCTGGGTCTGTTTTTTTTGAAGAATTATTTGAGCTGTTTTGAGTATTCACTATACTGAAGGGTTTATTCAACCCACTGATTGATGTCTCTGGGCCCGAACAAATTTTTTACAAATGTTTAGCTGTTTTTCAGTCATAGAGAAACTTTAGGATTGCTGAATTTTATCACATTAGTCTTTGTGTCAGGGGGCAATCTTAGAAATGAATGATTGTCTTATGGAATCAGCTGGCTCTTGGATGTCAGTAGCTGAATCATGTCCATAACTTCTCAAGCTCTTATGTTTGGTAGAAAACATCAAGACCATCAGTTTTACAGCAACCACCAGTGACTGAAATGACAGCTAATTGCCCTTTCACTTTTCTACCATTTTTCTTAACTTGACCAGAAAATTTTACATCACTATCTATTAGCTAAGTGAAACCTATGTGAGTGCATAAATTCAGTGTAAGCACACAGTTTCCCGGATAAGACAAACAAGTCAAGTTGTTTTTGTTTTGTTTTGTTGTGTTTTGTTTTGTTTTTAGAGGCTAACTCTGTGTTTCAGCCAAAAAGAAAAAGGGGGTTGGCGGGGGAGGGACTTTCATCCACTTCAGAGGTGGGCCTTTGAATTAGGGAGGATAGTAATTGTGAGGTAGCGTTTGTTGTATTTCAGTTTCTAAGCACTTTTAAAGGAGCTGAGCAATGATAAAAATTATAGGATAAGGTATGTAAATGACTATAGCTCAGCTGTTTGGAGCCATATGAGACTTAGACCTTACAAAGTTTGTGGGACAGTTATTGAGGGGCTTACCTCTTACCTTCATTCTTTTGAATTGCTACCATGGGATAGTTCCTTTTCCTTGGATAGCTGGAGGAAATGGGCGGAAGAGAGCCATACACTTTCTTTTTTTCAATCATACATTCTTAACGATACCATGAATTGCATCTCTGCCCAACAGCAACAGTACATTTAGAATTCAGGAGATTTCTTTTACATCGCCATAGTGATTTTTAACTTTTGAGGGTCAAGTGATATATTAAATATCACAGAAAACAAAATGTCATCTGTGTTATGTGGGAATTGGCAGTGGGAGACCAAATGGATATCTTTCTATAAAAACAAATTCTCTCTTTTTAAAATTGTAGGTCATAGGAAAATTGCAACTATGCTTTGAGCATTTTATTTTGGCTTTTCTTTTCTCTCTGTGTGCTTAACCCTACGTGAATTTGGATAGATTTCTTTGAGATAGTGTACTTTTATTGTGACCTTTTGAATGAGGTGAAAGTTCTTGGCTATTGGGAACCATTTGGCAATGTGTAGAAGTAGGAAGGCTGAGGAAAGGACATTTGTAGCTGAGAGGATAATTTAGCTCGTTTAGGTAATCTAGTAGAATGCACTGGGACAGTGTGAAATAATTAGTAACCAAAAATGAGCAATGCAGGGAGCTCGGTGGATGAGAATGATGAAATCAAAGGGCTAACAATGAGAAATGATTTTAGTGATAGCTGTAGGGCTAGTTCCAAGGGAGAACTGAGTCCTTCAATACGATCCAGAAGTGGCACCAGGCGGTCCTCATGGGCTCTCATGACTTCCGGGAGGCGAAGGGTTGGGCGAGGAGGTCCTGACAGGACAGCAGAAAGCGGTGTCACGGTGAACAGGAGAAAACCAAAGGGGTGACTGTTTAACAGCTGTTGGGCATATGCACTGAGCAGTGATTTGGTAGTAAATTCTTCAGAAAAAGGGAACTTTGGATAAAAAATGGAAAAGCTGAGGAGTTCAGATGATGAAACTGGTATCTAAAAAACTTTAAAAAATAGTCTTTGCTTGAATGGAACTAGTGAATCATTGATAGAAATTGGAGAGAAATGTACGTTTACACAGGTTTGGAACTTTAAAATGAAACTTTGAAAAAGAGTGAGTAGCCATAAACTCAACCTGCTATTTGGGTGCTGCAAAAAGCAAATTAAATAGACACGATCCTTCTTTATGAACCCATTATACAATTAAACAGTTAAGTACTTACTGGGTATTACTTAAAAGAATGTACCAATTTTCTTTTATATAAAACAAGGAAATAATTTGCATAGTATCAGTTAAGGCCTAGTTTTGTTTGGCATGATCTCTCTGAAAGCTAATTTAACTGAGTACATAATACATCCTACTTGGGAACTATCTACATTTTAGTAACAAAAAAAATAGAAGACATGTTAAAAAAAAATGAAAGGAGTAGGATGCACACTTGCAGAATGACCAAAGAATACGTAAAAATCATAGTTAGACTTTTAGGTTATTTTGTGTGTGTATGTATGTGTGTGATAGTTCTGTGGTTTTACGTTTATTTACACAAATGTAAAATATCCATGTGATCAAAGTTTTGAGATTTTTTTCCCACTAAATATGATAATTACTGGTAATAGATTACATAAAGACCTTTTTATTGTTATGGGAAGATAACAAAGTATTAAACTCCTGTGTTTAGTCATCCAGCATGATTTAGGCCTGCTCACTCACAGCTCTGCCAGATTTTTCAAGTGCTGTTATTTAACCTCCAGCCTGGCGGGCAGATGTTCTCCAAGATAAGGTACTGCTTCAGTAAATCAGCACACATAACGTACCCTCTTTCTCTTAACTTTTAAAAATAAGGAATTTTAGTAGTAATGTTTTTTGTGTTTGTAACTAAGTTGAATTCATCAATGTAGTATTAGTTTATTTGCATTTAAATCAGTGGTTCCACAACACAATTCTGGAGACCAGTGCTGGCCCATGACAAAGCTTTCATAGGAACTTGGAGTTTTTCATAAATTTAAATGTGTTCAGTGGAAAACCTATCTTTTAGTCTGAGATTTTTTTGTCCTTTCTACATTTTGTGTGTGTGTGTGTGTGTGTGTGTGTGTGTGTGTTAAAACGTAAAGTGAAGTTTTAGTGATAGATTTTTAAAAGTCTTTTTAGACTATGTGTGTATACATTTAATTTTTTTCTGGTATATATATATTCAGACATAATTGACATATATCACTGTATGAGTTTTAGGTGGTCCATGATATGCACCTGTAGAAGAAAATATCTACTACCAAAGTGCAGTGTTTAAAAAATAAAATAACTTAGGACAGAAACATCACTCAGACTAGCTTAATCAATGAAGGAGCTTTTTTGGCCCACGTAATTGGGGCGATCAGGGGTGGAATGGGCTCTAAGTAAACGAAACAGAGGTTCTAATTACGTTGCCAGGACCCTCTCATCATGGCCCAGCTGTGCTCCTCTTTGTGCGGCTCCTCTAATGCGGATGGGCTTTCCTCCCAGTGGCAGCGAGGGTGGTGGTGGTAGAGGGAACCTTTTTGGCGACTGCTTCAGAATTATGCTATTCCAAAGGGAGAAGACGAAACTCCCAGAGGCCTTCCACTCTTCGCTCTGTGAGGGATTCATTCTTTGTCAAGGCTTTCTTTCACAGCCTTTATCTCAACTTACCTCATTTATTTGCTCACCTGATTGTATTTCTCTGCATAAGAAGCCGGAGCTGGTTTCGTTGACTGTGTTACCTGGTGAGCACTCAGCAGGTAGTAAGCCAACAAATACCTGAATTCCAGGGAAGGACTCAGGTCCTCCTCAAGCCACCTGTCCTTACGCGGTCCGGCGGGTAGGAAGCTGTGACTGACAGACCTACCAGCGCCTCATGGACAGGGGAGAGGTGGTTTCACACGGGAAATGGGAATACCTTTAGCTAAAAGAAATGGGGGAGGAGGCTGAGCAAACAACACAAATACATGTCCACCATTTGTGTTTTATGTTCTTTAAGCATGGTTTAATATTTCACCCAGCTGCCCAGTCTGCTGTGTAAGACTATGCATGTTCTGCAGCAGTGGAGGGCGTTTGGCTGAGGGGATGGAGTGGGGCCAAAATGCAGCCCAGGGCTCCACTCTCGCTCTTCCTTTTTCCTGGAGGAACTCTGTTGGTACGTTTACACAAAGGCTCTGTATGGTCCCTATGTGCAGTGGCCCTGGTAGAGTATCTGTCTCTCCACCTAGCCTTCTGAGTGGCTCAAACTGAAGTAAGGGTACCAGGAGCAAAAGGAAGACCTGGAAGTGTCTCTGCCTGGGTTCCACGCAGTGTAGACTCTGCCTTGCCACGTCCTGCGTATGTTCCAAGAGAGATGACTTGTCTTGGGAAATTCCTCTTTTTCTTTCCTTCCCTACCTCCCATTTTTCTGTCGATCACGTTTCCCGAGAACGCATTTTGAGCTTTCTGAATTTTAGGGTGACTGAATGGTGACCCAGACACTGTTATCCTTCTTTCCGTTTTATCTACATTTCTCTGCCTTTCCATTTTGCTCAACCTGATAATTTTGCTTCAAGAAGAAGAAACTACCTCTATCTCCATTACTTGCCCCTCAGTGGAATCGAATTGTCTGAAAGCTCAGTCTCTTTGAGGTTTGTTTTATATTTTGTTTGATTAACGATATCTTTGAGGCAGTGAAATACTCACTATTTAAAAAGGTGTGTGGGTTGAAGGACGGGAAATTCAGTCTGACTCAGTTCAGGCGGCTGGGAATCTCCCAAGTTCCAGACATGCAGCTGAGCGTCTCATTACATGGATGGTTTTCAGACAGCTCCTCCAGCCTTATTTATTTCTCTTTCTGGGACTGCTTAGTTTCTTCTCCGCTTCACCCTGGGCATTGTTTCCATTCATCTGATTTTCTTTGAACACCGACTTACTCTGCAGGTAGCCAAAATTGGCAACTGGAACTTACTCATTAGATTCTCGGTCCTAGTCCAGAGGAAGTCTCCAGGGACATCACTTGAGGGGCTTACAATAAAAGATTTATAGGCCTCACACACAGATATTCTGAGTCAGGAGGTATGGGGTCCTAGGATCTATACTTTAAGATTGCTCCCCAGCGGGAATATGCAGACCTCTCTCTCCATAATTACCAGAGAGAAAGAAGGAAAACGAGTGAATGACGGCATAGCTGAGCCACGCCTCAGCATTCACTTGCCCCCGGCACAGCCCTGTTTCTTTTTCTCTCTGCCATTCTTTGGTATCGATCTCCTTGTTTGAGGAGGAGAGATGGATGGTCTGAGGCACTGAAAACAAATATTGCAGAATATAATTTCACTAAAAGCAGCAGTACTGGCAGCAACAGTCCTTAGCCTCTCTTGGTGGGTGGGCAGCAGGCAGTGGGGCCACGTGCTCCTTATCAGCTCATTGCCAGTTTCCTGAGAAACACCTGAGGACTTTAGAGCTATTGTGATAGATGGCTTTGAAAGCATTTGCAGCTATGGCAGCAGCTGTTCAAACACGTTCTCTCGCTGGGCAGGTGGGGCATGACCTTGCAGCTTCGGTGCCCATCACTCTCACACTAACTACAGTATGTACGTGTCTGTGTCTCTTAGATTATAGTCTTTAGAGAGAATCTGGTCGCTGGCCAGCAGCCTACTCTGGAATTGTGGGCCAGAGCAAACTTTGAGAAAGGCGTTAAATAATAAGTGCATTGTTAGCTTTCTTTTGGTTGCTTGCAAAGTACAGGATTAAGTGAGTATTTGTATTCCCTTTTCCTAGATAACATAGGGATTATATTCCTAAATCAATTATAATGAATTTTATATATGTCAGAGCTACAAATATGACTCCAGTCTAATTTATGTGAAATAAGTGCACTGCACAGTATTCAAGATATTTAATAAGTGTTTTTATGGCAGACATTACCGTTGTCTCTTCATAATTTAATAACAAAATGTATATTAAGGTATAAGTAAAGTGATATGGTTTATTATTTAATGTGCTTAAAATATAATATCATTTGCTTTACCTTTTATTATGCACTGACATATGTAAAAGGTTGTAGCACTTTGATTCTGAGACCTCTCCATAGTAATGGAGGCTCTCCCGTTAATAAATTTGTCTACTGTTGAACTTCCAGGACCACTGCGGGCTTTCCATAGGTATTGATGACATAAAATATGCAAAGATAAGAAAAAGATAACCGAGACTGAGCACCAAAAAATCGCCCTGTGCTGTCTTTCTGCGCACAAAGCAGTTGCATGGTTAGCTCGTGAGGTGTAGTGTCAGTACCGTAGGGTTGGTTTAAGAACATGTGTTTTATGTCTTTAACTGTGAAAATTTTAAATATTGAGATAGTTTATCTGGTTTTTAAAATTATTTTTTCTTTTCCAGATCCGATCTCTGTGTGGAACTTCTAAACATCTTTTATTAGTGGAAACATTATTTTCTACAAAATGAACTCAGCATCTTAATTTAAGCCAGCGTTCATGTGATTCTGATTCACCTGCTGTGGTTCACGAAGCTTGAGATCTAAGGAGTACAGGGTCTTTTGCTATGACAATATGACTAATAGTAAAGGAAGATCTGTTACTAGTAAAACAAGTGGTGGTCCAAGTAGTGGAGGAGGTTTTGTAGACTGGACTTTAAGCTTAAATACAGTTCAATCCGATACGTTTTTAAACTTATTGTTGAGTATGGTTCCAGTAATTTACCAGAAAAACCAGGAAGACAGGCACAAAAAAGCAAACGGCATTTGGCAAGATGGATTGTCAACTGCGGCACAGACTTTCAGTACTAGACCTGAGCAACACATGGAGTATCACAGTTTCCCGGAGCAGCCCTTCCACAGCAATAGTGGGCACACACCCTCAAGCTGTAGCCAAAACTATGACGACTATGCCAACTACAATTACTGTGATGGACGGGAGACTTCAGAAACTACTGCCATGTTACAAGCTGAAGATATGTCTAGTGATGGGGATGAAGACGTCATTATGGAAGCAAACCAAAGATTGCCAAAGGAGTCCAGCGGTGTCATGGCACTGCAAATACTTGTGCCATTTTTGCTAGCGGGTTTTGGAACAGTTTCTGCTGGCATGGTTTTGGATATAGTCCAGGTAGGTTTTCATCTTTAACGTCCTTGTTTTTGTTGTTTAAAGTGCCTTATGTAGGTTACTCTTCTCAAAAGTGTACTTTAGATTTAAGTTGTCTCTTAGTAAAATGAACTGATGTTGACTCTGGTAAAGAATTTACTCTTTGTGGGTGCTTTTTTTGTTTGTTTTCCTTTAGTTCTAAGAGAATAGTCTCATTCTGACCATAAAGTAGGTCTTCATAAAGTATTGCAATAATAAAGTGAACCAAAAATGGGTTCAAACAACATAGAATGTTAAAAGATAAAAGATCTTCCCTATTCCTCATATCCAAGCCAAACTCTATCTTCAAAAGTTACCCTTGTTATGAGTCTGTTGTATATGCTTGCAGACTTTTTCTATGCATACGTATATATATTTGTGCAGAGCTTTTTTTTCCAAAAATAAAAATGAAATGCTATATATATTTTTCTGCAACTTAAGTTCATTGCTTAATAATATATTTTGGACATATTTTCAAATTAGTAACAAAGATATTCAGCATTTTAAAATTAGTGCTTGATATTTCATTGTATGTGTATACCAACATTTACTTATTCATCCCCCATGCTGCTGCTATAATACATATCCTTGTAAATATATCTTTATATTCTTATACTAATATTTTCATAAAATAGATTTTAAAAAAATTGCTGGACGTTAGGATAGGTATATGTGTTTAAAATTTTATAGGTACTATTCAGTTGCCTTTCAAAAAGTTTGTACCAATAAGTACTTTTATTTATTTATTTTTTGCCTTTACTAACATTGGATGTTCTTGATCTTTTTCATTTTTGCCAATTAATGGGAAAATGTTATCACATTTTAATTAACATTCTTAAATTATCATTTAGCATCTTTTCATTGGCTCTTCTTATTCTTTCTGTTTATGTATGAATTTTTTTGTGTCTTTTACTTATTTTTAAAATGCATGAGGCCTGTCCATAAGGTATCCAGCCATGTATTATGAAAAATAGAGACATTTACTGAAGAAGATACAAGAAACACTATACATAGGGCAATAATGCCTCAGTCTCGTCAAAGTAGGCACCTTGGGACCTCACACAGTTCTCCGAATCACCGTCAGCTGCCCCGTCATACTTTCCTGAATCTCATCAACAGTCTGAAATCTCCTTCCTTTCAAAGGTGATTTTAGTTTTGAGAAAAGCCAGAAGTCGCAGGGCACCAAGTCTGGGCTATAGAGGAACTCAGTAATCTCGGTGATTTGATGTTTCACCGAAAAACTCTGCCTGAGAGATGATGCATGAGCATGCACATGGTCATGATGAAGCTGCCAATCACCAGATGCCCACAGCTGCAGCTTCTGAATCATCCTAATAGCTTCCACAGAGGAATGTTCAAGCTTAATGCAAAATTCAATGCAGATTTGTTGTTCTGCTTGCTTAGTCATTTTGAGTACAACAGCCACATAGTACACGTGCTCACTCAACAGCGCCTACCACCTCTACTGACTAGTACAGTGAAGTCATCATTGTTCACTCATGTGCATTCCAGTCCACTCTCCTTGGCAACCAGGTTACATCAATGTTGCGCAAACCATTCTTGTTATTTAACAATGGCTGGACTTTTTCTGATTAGACCTCATATATGCTACTTATTGACTTGTAGTTCTTAATGTGGCATAGGTACAAAATTACCTATTTATAATTATTGCTCTAACGTTGTCAATTGTTAAAAAGTGACATTCTGTTACTATCAGTTTTTATTCATCAGTCAGAGAAAGATTGGCTCTGGGAAAGTGTTAGATACATTATCCTGTAATGCGCTCTTGTCTTTCATTATTTGCTCCCTAAAAAAAATGTCAGGTCATTTGTGACTCTAAGATGCTTTTCAACAGGTAACATTTTTATCTAAATGGAAAACATGCATAAGTAGAAACTTAATTTTTCCACCATCAGATGGAGAAGGAATATTAAAAGAACTATGCTAAGAAGTATATTGAACCCTAGCTGGTGTGGCACAGTAGATTGAATGCCAGCCTGCAAACGAGAGGTTGCTGGTTTGATCCCCAATCAGGGCACATACCTGGGTTGTGGGCCAGTTCCCCAGTTGGGGACGTATGAGAGGTAACTGATTGATGTTTCGCTTCCTCTCTTTCTCCCTCCCTTCTCCTCTGTCTAAAAATAAGTAAAAATAAAATCTTTAAAAAAAAGTATATTGAATTTTTTAATAAACTATATTAAAGGGGGCCCAAACCTACCTGTTCACTTGAAATATAATTTTTCAAGCTACTACAATAATATCACAGTTGCTGAAATCTATAAACAAATTGGTAGACTTTTTTTAACATATCAGTTATTCTGAAGAAGCACTAAACATTTTGCTATGGAATGGGAACATGTATAGGAATAATATGTTACAGCATAGCTTGTTAGGCAGAATATTTACATAGCTCATTGTATATATTCCCCTGGTGTAATGTTTATTTATTTCTTGATACTGTACTATTTGAGAGAACAGGACATGTGTAATTAGAAAAAGTCCCTTTTATGATTTTGTGGACTTTAATACATTCTTCTAACCCTAAGGACTTCATAGTGTGTGTTGACCTTGTCTCCATCAAGTTGCTAAAATCACTTATTAATTTACCTATAAATTCTTTTGGAATTCCTTAATCATAATCATATTATTTATTAATAAAGATGGCTTTATTTATTTCTAAATCTTATACATTTTAATTCTTTTTCTTGCCATTCTGTACTGGTTAGGACTTCCAAAGTATTATGCTACAAAATATAAGTGGAAAGAGCAGGCAACCTTGTCTTATTCCAGGTCTCAAAGGTTAAACTTTCAATAATTCGTCATAAAGCATGATGTTGGCTATTGATTTTTGTAATATTCTTTATCAGATTAAGGAAGTTTTTTTTGTAGTTTGCTAAGATTTCCTTGCTTAAAATCATGACTGGATGTTGAATTTTATCAAGTGTTCTTACTGTATTTATCAACAAGATTATATGATTTTTCTTATTTGTTGTTGTGTTGAATTATATTGATTAAACCATCCTTACATTTCTGGGATAAATATAACCTGGTCATGATTTATTGTTCTTTTTATAAAATTCTAATCATTACTATTTTGTTTAGAATTCTTGCATTTATATTCAATATAAGATTAGCCTATAATTGTCCTTCTCACAATGTCATTGGCAGATTTCATACTAAGGTAGTGCTTGTCTCATAGTGAATTTGAAAATGTTCTCTTTTTTCCTCCTATTCTTTTTTAAGTTTTATGTAACTGTCATTTCTTCCTTAAGTATCTGGAGTAATTTTCTGATGAAGGTGTCTGGGCCTGTAGTTCTCTTTGTGGGAGTATTTTAAATTACTGCTTGAGTTTCTTTAAAAGCCACAGGGCTCATCAAATTTTCTATTTCTTTTTGTAGTACTTTTGGTAAGTTTTTATGTTTGATTTTTTAAAAAATATTCTATTTATTTATTTTGAGAGAGGGAAAGAGAGAGAGAGAGAGAGAGGGAGGGAAACTTCAATATGTGGTAGTTTCTCATATGGCCCCAACTGGGGACCTGCCCTGCAACCCAGGTATGTGCCCTGAGTGGGAATCGAACCAGCGACACTTTGGTTCGCAGGCCTGCAACTCAGTCCACTGAGCCACAGCAGCCAAGGCATTGTGTTTGATTTTAACCATTACATCCCTAGAAGTGTCTCTAGCAGTGGGTGGTTTAAACAACAGACATTTATTCTTGTGGTTCTGGAGGCTGGGAAGTTCAAGATCTAGGTGAAAATTGAAAGTTCTTTTTTTTTTTGTTTTTCCTTACAGCACTGGGAGGTGTTCAAAAAAGTAACAGAAGTTTTCATTTTAGTTCCTGCACTACTGGGTCTCAAAGGGAACTTGGAAATGACATTGGCATCTAGATTATCCACTGCAGTAAGTTTTTCCCTACCTCAAAATGCATATGGTTAAAATCATATGGATAGTCAGGTTCACTTTGAAGAACTGTCTGCGCATTAAATGTCAGCCAAATATTAAGCCATTAGAGGTTATTACTAATTGGTGTCTTGGAAGCCAGTTACATTGCACCATTGTTACACTTTTAGATTCAAAATTTAAAAGACAAGTTCTTCTTAAGTGATGATGTGAAGCAGTAAGTACATGTAAAAATATTAAAATAAAAAATATAAGTAAGGGTAACAATCTTACACTCATCTGAAAATATTTGGAAAACATCATCATCAAGCAATGTGCAGTGTTAGTTTATGGAATAATTTCAATGAAACTGCATCATCACTATCAACCAAATTTTCAAACCTAGGAATTAGAGTGTTAAGTCTTTTATATTGTCAAATATTACCTGAGAGGAAAGAAAGCCTAATGATTTGGTAACACCATCATTTTCGGCAGTAAATTGGCAACACTAGCCACAGATAATCTTGATTCTCTACTGACTTTGTTTGAAAGTAGGCATCTATATAGTATCAGAAACATGAAGCCTGGGACCACAGGATCAGTCTAGCAGCTCACAGTGTTAAGAAACTATTTCTAGTACTTGCTTCGGCAGCATGTCCACTAGGATCGGAATGATACAGAGAAGATTAGCATGGTCCCTGCGCAAGGATGACATGCAAATTTGTGAAGCACTCCATATTTTTTAAAAACTATTTCTAGAAAAGTTAATAATAAAATGGTAATACAGTGTTTAAAATCTGGTTAAATTTCATCTTTTTCTAGTATCCCGGAAATTCATTATATAATGGTCACATTTGATGTCATTGAATATTGATTTGAACACTTGGCCATTTGGCAGCCAGCTGGAATGTGTGTCCAGTATACCTTTAGCTTTGTCTTAAAACAAAACTGTTCCGTAGTTTTACTAAGGTTTTCAGAGTTAATTATTATATATACAGATGTTCCATCTGTCATCTTTTCCCAGTGATCTATATGTGCATTATGTTTTAAAAACTAGTGGGTCACCTAGGTAGAACCCAGTCCAAAAGGATTTTTGGCAGGAGAGGAGAGTAAAGAAAGGCCTTGCAAGGTTTAGGCTTTTTTTTTGTTTGAGGGAATTCCCCAATCCCTGGATCTCATGTGGCAAAAACTATAGGCAAGTTGCTTACAGTCTTCCCAGCTCAAGGTAAGGGAGTCCAAAAAAAAAAAAAAAAAAGAGTAGGCAGAAATGTGAGAGAGGCCTATACTTTAAAGACCAATACATTAGCTAAAATGTGTGATTTTTTGCTTTTTTGACTAAGTGCCTTCTGTGACTTATGCATAACTATGGTGATATAAAGTTGAAGTTTTATCAGTTTGAATGATCATCAGGTAGATAGCATTTGGAGCTAACAGAGCAGGGGGAAATTTGGGGGGAAATTCCAGCAGCAAGAGAACCACAGAGAAGATGAGCCCCAGAATCTAAGTAGAATTTCTGTCCACGTTTTTGGCTGGCTGTTAAACTACACAGGTGTAAAATAGATCCCCAAAGGACGAGGCTGAAAAGAGTAGCTGGTAGCTGAAGGAGCCAAGCAGAGATGTGAGCTGGTGCACTGAGGGAGATACAGGAGGGAGATACATTATTACAGAATAAAGAGTCTATGAAAATTAACTGCCCATTACAAGGGAAAGCCAATCATCCTCAGAAGAATATAACATTTCCAGTCATTGTACATATTATTATACTGCCTGGTTTTCAACCAGAAAATCACTGTATGTGGAAAGAAACACAAAGGTATGATTTATATTCAGGAAAAGTGTGATTCCTACTTGCTCATTGGAAAGTGACTCGAATTGGGCCCAGATGTTGGATTTAACAAAGTCTTTCCAAGCAACTAATATAAATATGTTGAAAGAACTACAGGAAAAAATGTTCAAAGAATTAAACAGACATATGTCTTAATGAGTGAACAGATGGGAAATCTTAAGAATAATGGACTCTATAGAAAAGAATCAAATGTATTATATTGTTGATAGTGGAAGAGAGAATTTGTGAATTTGAAGATAGATAGAAATTATCCAATATGAAGAAATGAGAGAAAAAAATTGAAGAAATATAAATAGAGTGTCAGATGCCTGCAGACAATATAATGATTATAAACATGTATGTGATATATTGATATGCTAAATATGGTCAAATTTTAATATTTGACAAAACCAGGTGGTGGGAATATGATTGTTTGTTATTTTTAAAAGCAGTTACTGCTGAATGATTTTATCTTACTTTCAAAAAAATTAACTTTGTTGTAGTATTTTGATAGGGATTGCATTGAATCTGTAGATTGCTTTAGGGAATATGGACATTTTAACAATGTTAATTCTCCCAATCCAGGAACAAGGAATATCTTTCCATTCCTTTGTGTCTTCTTCAATTTCTTTCAACAATGTCTGGCAGATTCAGTGTCTCATACCTATTTCTTGAACACTAAACCTGGGATAGTTTCACTCTTTTAACATTGCCTGTGCATTATTACTCATTAGAGCAAAAATCCAAGTTGGTAGAGCTACAAACACAAAGTTCATCAATAATTCAAATTTCCAGGCTTAGGAAAGAAGTATACAAATTAAGACAGCAGGAATAATTATTCTAAAACACTGAAAAATCTTAATATTTGCATTTGCTGGATACTTTGAGACTACAGTCCAGGGTAAGGTTAGAAAACAGAATCTGTTTTATAGGTTGATACAGGAAACATTGATGTGGCACTGAACCTGACAGTCTGACGACAGCAAGCTGAACCCCAGTCAGACCATGCCTGGGACTACCCATGAATGACAACCCTGGTCTATTTTCCACTTCACCCATTCGCCTGTGTTCCATGACCAAGAGATGATGAATAATTGAAATCTGTCTCACTATAGTATTTTTAATAATGGTTGCTCATTGTTTTCCAAAGTACTGCATTAGAAAACTTGTCAGATTTGGATATACATGTTTTGAATCCTAAGTGGTTGATAAGTATGATTTGGCTTACAGCACAATTAAGTATGTGAATAATACATCTTTTTTGGACTGCATTCTTCCATTTAGTAGAAAGAAGTATAAATTCTAATAGTGAGATATGTGATCAAAATTCATATTGAATTGAATGAATGTTTTATTGTTAACAGTGTTAGTCATGACTCAAATATAAATTATGTATGAGTGAATGATTTATTTATATGTGAGTTTTTTGGTCAGTAATTCTTCAGATTACAGTAGTTTCACGATGTGGAATTAGATTCTAGCAGCTCAAAATTACTTATTTATATTGGGCCTAAATACATAAAATTTGACAAGTTAGGATGTACTTTATGGTGTTAGTTGTAAAATAATGTCAGCAGGTAGGTGGGTAGTACTAGCTAGTCTACTAGTTCTTGTGAGCTAGTAATTCAGAAAAGAAAAAAAAAAATCTTAAACGTCTCAGGCAACCTGCATGTAAGGTGCAAGACTGGTAGTGAGTTCAGAGTTATATTTAAAGTCCAATGTGAGTTCATCAGATTTACTAAAGAATTATATTTGCTTTAAGACTTCACATGCTGTGTAAATAGAATAGATTATTCAGTGATATATGAAAATTTCCACCTTAACAGGTAAATATTGGGAAGATGGATTCACCCATTGAAAAGTGGAATCTAATAATTGGCAACTTGGCTTTAAAACAAGTAAGTGATGCACATATTTGTTCATAGATCTTGGGTGCTATCTGTAAGAATGGAATAAATTTTAGTCATGTCTACCATTTAATTGTTTCAGGGGATCCAAAATGATCATTTAGTGCTGTGAGAAGGGATAGAATAAATGAATATCCATGATTTGAAAGTTTTTTTTCTCTAGAAACTGATCATGTTCTTCTAAATATGAAAAATATATAACATACAAAATATTGATAAATGTACAAAATACTTTCTCTCATAAGTGTGTAATAGAGCCAGAATTTGAGTTAAAATCTGTACAAATAAATATTTAGCACTTCATTGCTTAGGTACTATTTTTCTATTTTAATGTTTTATATAAACTGTCTTATTTAATTAAACTTAGCTCTTTTTAAATTTTTATTTATTAGATTTTTTGGATTTTATTTTTAATTTTTAAAAAAGATTTTATTTATTTATTTTTAGAGAGAGGGGAAGGGAGGGAGAAAGAGGAGAGAAACTTTGATGTGTTGTTGGTTGCCTCTTGCACGCCCCCAACTGGAGACCTAGCCTGCAAAGCAGGCATGTGCCCTCAGTGGGAATGGAACCAGCAACCCTTTCATTTGCAGGCCAGCACTCAGTCCACTGAGCTGTACCATCCAGGGCAATTTGTTTTTATTTTTCTAAGAGTTTATTTGGGCCAAAATGAGTATGCCTGAGAGCAATGTCTCCAGTGCTCCCAAGAATCCTTAACTCCTTTTTATATATTATGGTCAGGCATTTATTTAGGCTGAGTTTTCCTTAATTTGTCAATAATACTAATGTTAATGTAAATGAACACATTAAATTGTCCATTCTGTATACACTAAACCATGAATTTATATATAAATTATCTACAGTTCTTTCTAATTTCAGGTGACTATATCTTCTTTTCTCACTACCTTCTTGCATCTCCAAGGCACAAGAAGGCAGCCCCCTAGTAACTCTGGCAATTCTAACAAGTATGAGCTTAGGAGATGCTTACTTTTTTTTCCCCTTAAATCTTCACCTCAGGACATTTTTTCATTGCTCTTAGAGAGAAAGAAAGGGAGAGAGAGAAACATCGATGTGAGAGAGAAACACGGATTGGTTGCCTCTCGTATGCGCCCCAGCCAGGGATCAAACCCACAACCTGGGGATGGGCCCTGACCGGGAATCAAACCTGCAACCTTTCTATCTATGGGACGATGCTCCAACCAACTGAGCCATGTCGGCCAGGAATGCTTAATTATTTTAATGTTAGACCACCTAGGACATAATGTTGAGAACATGGTTACAGAAAAGTAATTTCATATATTGCATTTCAAAGTCAAAAAAATAAAGGAATTTTTGGAATATAGAGTTTAAAAAAAAATCCATGTAACTACTACGAAAATCAAAGGATTAGAGATAAGAAATGTGGTATCTAATCTTTAATCCCAGTTTTTACTTTAACCAGCTATGTAATCTTTGTTAACCTTTCTGGACTTAATTTTCCTCTTCTTTTAAGTGGCAGTATTGCGTTAGAGATGTCTGTGATCCTTCTCAGCTTGAAACTGTAGGAACCTGTGCCAGGCAATAATCAAAATATATACCAACCAGTAGATTACTATAATCTAATCTGTAAAATAAAACTGGAAATATATTTTAAATTTATTTTAATTTTTTTAATATCCTAAACTCTTACCAAGTAGTATGAGTTATATTCATCCAATCATTCTAATAATTCCCATCTCAGCTTTTAATTTTTGCTTCCACTCTTAGTCTGAGACTTTCCCTTGTCACCCTCTCTCCCTGCAACTGTTGGTCAGGATGGGAGCCAGAGATGGCTGAGAGGGCTCACTGATCCTAGATGCCATGTCCTGAAGTCTGTGTCTGTCTGCCTCACTCCACCAAGGATGTACGAGAATCAGAGAGCCCCGCCTAGGGCCATCAGGGCGCAGTTGGTGCCAGCCAGGGAGCAGCTACTGGTTGGAGCGCAGTTCCCTGGGGAAAGAGCAGAAGGGAGAAGTAAAGAAGGTTGGGGTTGGGGGGCGGTGTGTGCTTGTGCTCTCTCTGAGGCTTTATCCACTAAAGCCTGTGAAGCCAGAGATGAGCATGGTGACGGAGAAGGGGAAGGGATGGGCCAGAAAAGGCTTCTCTGACTGACTGGCTACAGAGGGTAGAGGCGGGGAAGGATGGGAAGGACAGAGCAGGCACACTGGGATGTGTGCTTTCGACTCTTCAGTGTGATCCCAAGCAAATTACCCCTTGCAGATTTCTTAACAGTGGTACAGGGTAGCTGCCTTGACCAGTGTGTAAATTGTCAGGTAAAGCAGAGTTCTCTCTCCCATCGAAGAGCCCTTACATCGGCAGGAGGGCTGTGCTCTGCGCTCAGTCTAGTTAAGCCTATGGCCTCCATTCACCTCCCCAGTCTTTGAACCTAGACCTAGCTCCTCTCTTGGGTACGATTAGGCATTCCTTTTTACACGTTTACAGAATAGGACTTCCTCATCTCAGCTGTGCTTCGACTTCTGTATATATATATATACATACATGTATATGCCAGCATGTCTGCCATAGGCTCCTTAGCTCCGTATTTTACTTCCAAGAAAAACCTTGGAATCACAGTGCTAGAATTGGCATTAGTAATTGATTTTACTGCTTTTACATACTGTATTATTTACTCACCAGTGTGAAAATGCCAACGTAGTTTGACAACTGGTACAGCCAGGGTGATGCTGACAGCTTGTCCCTGAGCTCCGAGCCTGTGGGTGCTGCCATCAGGAGCTGATGGAAGACCCTGGGGCTGGAGTCTAGGCTGTCTGGACTGGCCGGCCCTGGCTCTTCTGGCTCTGCTGCCAATTTACTGTGTGACAGGATTAGGAGTTTTCTTCCCCACCCAGAGCCCTGGATTCCAGTACATGGATTAGCTTTGGAGAGTCTGCAAGCAACTAGAAATCCTACTCAAAATACTCAATCTCTATAAAGTTTTTGTCAGATTGTCAGAGGAGTCCATGACGCAAAGACGGTTAAGAATCAGTAAACCAGATGATTCCTTAAGGGTTTCTTTTAGTTCTGACATTCTACTGATACAATTCTAAGAGTTCCCAGCCAGTGTTGCAGTTTTAGTTGCTGTTTTCTGGTTTTGTGTTTTTTTTTTTTTTGAGTGTTGCTTTATGCCACCACTGTGGAAAGCATTTTATATATTAATGTAATTTATTTACATCTCAAAATAACCCTTTAAGTTCAATGTTGTCATTGTCATTTTTCAGATAAGGAGCTGACGCTTTTTATTTATTTATTTATTTTTGACCAGGAATCAAGCCAGTGACCCTTGGGTTTGCAGGCCGGTGCTCAGTCCACTGAGGCCCACCAGCCATGGCAGGGGCTAAAGTTTTTGTAATGTTAATCATGATTGTGGTTATATGTAAGGTTTACTGCCTGGCTCTCCCATCAACCAACAGCTCTGTGAGAACAGGGACTACATGTGTTTTGACCACTGTTGTAGCCCAACATCAAACATAGTGGCTGATATGTAGTAGATGCTGAGTTAATAATTGTTGAATGAATTAATTTGAATAATTGCCACAAGCTTGGATGCTATAGCCAGGAGTCAAAGTCTTCTCATTGCATTATAAAATCCATTCTCTTGCCAACACTGCCTCTAGCGTCAGATTTCAATTTTGTGGGTTGTATACTTCTCTTAGATGACCTGTGGATTGCATCATCAAAATCAAGGTACTTGTTAAAAAAACAGATTCTTGGACCCTGTCCATACCTGTTGCCGCCAGATCAGTGCAGTTTGAGAACCCACTGCCTTTGGGAATATTAAAACTAAAAACGCAGGGTCCGGCACAAATAATGGCCCTTTTTTATTACAAACTCTTTTATTACAAAATCATAAGCATGAAATTCTGTCACATACTAATATCCCACTCAAGCACACCATCTAACATTTTGGGTGAAATGTTCAAATTAAAACTATAAATTATTACACCCATATTATTACCCTCCCAACCACACTCCAACAGGCTTTCCTTCTGCCAGGTCCTGTACAGTCACTTCTCTAAAAGGTAAGGCAGCTCAATTACCATATGCAATACTTTTTTCTGACTTTTTGTACGCATATTTAAAAAATGTATTTTTGAAATGAGTAATTCTGTTGGATTTTATGAAAATTTTTTTTAGGTTCAAGCAACAGTAGTTGGTTTTCTAGCAGCTGTGGCAGCAATTATATTGGGCTGGATCCCAGAGGGAAAATACTACCTTGATCATTCCATACTTTTGTGCTCCAGCAGTGTAGCAACTGCCTTCATTGCATCTCTTCTGCAGGGTGAGTGCATTTTACAAACATCTACTCTTACAATCGTTTACTTTTATTTCCCAAGATTATGCCTGTTTTTATTTAAATGATATGTGTCCATAATTAAAAAAATAAAAAAAGTTATCTACAGACTTTTAAAACATCTTATTTTGGATATATTTATACTTACTATATGTAAACCTTAGTGTAGAACAGGCTTTCTGTGTTGTCTTCTGGCCTGTGTACCCTGGTACAGTTCTCAAATAAGATCAGGAAAATAGCTCAGATATTCATTTGTTTTTGTTACCTGAGAACCTGCTTTCAGGAAATCATGCTGAGGGTTTACTGACTTGTCAGTTCAGTAACAAGGATTTTAAGAATTCTCAGTTCCAAAAGCAGTCTCTCTGTAGAAATTTTTAAATTTTTTTAAACTATTAAAACCAATATTTTATTTATTTATTTTTAGATTAGGGAGGGAGGGAGAAAGAGGGGGAGAGAAACTTCAGTGTCAGAGAGAAACATGAATTGGTTGCCCCTTGCAGGCGCCCCAGTTGGACACCGGCCTGCAACCCAGGCTCGCGCCCTGGCTAGGAATCGAACTAGCGGCCTTTCACTTTGTGGGCCAACGCCCAACCAACTGAGCCACACCGGTCAGGGTTTTGTAGATATTTTTTAAAGTTTCAGATCTCAAAGAAAATTCTTCAGTATCTCTGAGAAAACTCTTGAGTCTTGAGTATTTCTATTTCAATACAAATATAACCATAATAAACTTAACATAGCAGATTGTAGGCTCTCAATTTTGAAAGAGCCAGGTTTTAAAAAATTAACTACATTAGAAATTTTTCAGTTGGGGTGTCATTTAAAAATACTTATTAATATAATCTAGTTTGCTAGAAGAAAATCATCTAGAGTCATTTCCAATCTAAAATTCTATGATGTCCTATTATAGCTACATTTAGGCTTCTATATTGATTTTTTTGATTAGCATATAAGTAAACTAATCTTAATTGTCTCTCTGCTGTATACTTTTAATGAGTGTGTTGGCATGAGAAAATTTATACAGTTAAGTGTAGATGTGAATGTTATCATTTTTCTCTCACTTCTATGGTTGAGGAAAATACAGATTTAAAAGTATAAGTACATAGTCACATTTTGATCTATTCTTTAGCTCTAGGTTCCTAGACAAAAACTTTGGATTGAGGGAATATCTTTTACAAAGACAGCTTCTGGCCTCATGTTCAAAATTTAATTACTCCCCTCCTCTTAGTATTTTAATACTCTTAAATAATAAAATGAAACAAGCATTTTTGGTTACCACAGTGGAAACAAATCTGTTCATTGGTGTTCTTCCCAACTGTTATGCATATAAATATGACTTACCTTTATTTGATATTTTCATGCTTTATTTGAGGGTTAGAATAAAATCTTTGGGTTTGGTACACTTAAATATATTACATGTAAGACAGACATGTTACTAAATTTGAAACTTCAGGGTTAATGTTATTTTACAGTAGGTTATCAGACATCTAAATGCAACACTGAACTTCTCAAATCTTCTATGATTCCCCTCTTAGAATTTGTTGAAAGGCATTTTGCCAGATCGCTAGTGTCATATATTTTGTGTACTGTTGTCAGCTTACCTAAGCAGTCTAGTTGGAACTGATAATGCTGTTTGTCTAGCTTAATATTTCAGTATTTAGGGGGATTAGTTGTCTTTAAAATCATAGCATAAAAGTAAAAAGCTTTCTCTCTTCCAGGAATAATAATGGTTGGGGTTATTGTTGGTTCAAAGAAGACTGGTATAAATCCTGATAATGTTGCTACACCCATTGCTGCTAGTTTTGGTGACCTTATAACACTTGCCATATTAGCTTGGATAAGTCAGGGTTTGTACTCCTGTCTTGGTAAGTTGACTTAAAACTAAATATAATGTGTTGTTGATTCTCTTTAAATAAATATTATTATAACAATACCATGAATCCATGGTGGCCTTCGTCTGGTTTAGAACTGTGGTTGAGACTGATTAGGACAGTAACTGCCATTTGTTGTATACCTGCTATGTATTATGGTTCTCATATATTTTTTCTCATATATTCTTTTTCTTCTTATAGAGTTTAAACCTCTATAAGATTTATCATCTCTAATTTCAGAAGAGAAAACCAAGGATCATACAGGTTGTGTATGTTCCCCACCACTGATAGGAAGGTTAAACACGGTCTGTCATGCTCTGTGGCTTCTGCCCTTTCCTCCAGATATGTAGCCAGCGAGCTGTCCACCCAGTGTTCCGCGATGCGCATTGTACTACTGTCCCGGAACATAAGGTTATGACGATGTTCGAAACTTATTGATTTCTCCCCCAATTAGAAATCAGCATGGCAATAAACAAAAAAAGAGAAAAATCACTATGAACATTAGCCTGAATATTATGTGAAGTTGGAGCCATCTTATATATGTGATCCCTGATGATAGTGATAGAGTATTTATAGAATCTAATGAATTGTTTTACTGCACATTTATACTCTGAGACTACTCTCAATGTAAATGAATATGATTTGTGAGAATTGAGTTAGTGCTAAAAGTTGGTTGTGGTTCATTTTTTTTTTTTTTTTGGATGCCAAACTTTAAAAAATTAAAACAGAAACCCACAGTAATAGAAGGAAAGAAATATAGTTTATAAGACAAACCAGAAGCATTTATTCACTTATCATTATGTATTTTCATGGATTCTCTACAGATTTATAGTATACTTTAGAGTAAATCTAAAGTACATTTGGTTTGAACAAGAATCTCAGGTATATGTTTTCGAACTAAAGAAAGGGCTTTAACTTAACAAAGGCAGGAATTATCTATCACTTTTGGGGACATCAAGAGAGGCTTCATTTACTACATAAAATTACCTGAATCACTTAATGGGTGGCATAAAAACAGTATTCAGTACGATTTGATACATACGTTCAGGGAATATTTTTATTTTTCTCATTTAGAAGAATATGTGTTTCCACTTGAAGTAAGGACAATAAATGATCAATGGCCTAAATGTCAGATCTTGTTCCCACAGGCCTTGGGCTTTTTTGTTCTTGTGGAATGTACAAGGAATGATGTAAACTCAAGTACATTCAGGATAATCCTCAATTCCTCTCTTTCATGTTAATAACATAACAGAAAATGAGAGTTATGTTATTAAAGGGATAATCTACTCTAACTTATATTCTTGGGTGATAATTGGTCATACTTTTCTCCTCTGAGTTATTATACAATTTAGAAACTGATGCTGAAGTCAGGGATTGAAATGTGAGCTTATGACTGGTATTAGAGAATGTAACTAAATGGTGTTCTCCTACTGTGTGAATTCAACGGATTCACCCAATCCCCGGCAGAGAGCTGGACAGCTTGTAGTCCTCACCCCCACAGGGACAGGCTGTAAACTGGGTTGGGGAAGGGAGGCTGTCATTGCTAGGCTGCATCCCCAAAAAGAAAGGAATGAGTTAGCCATGCTTACTGCCCCTTTCTCTAGTCTTGCTAATTCGGTAAGTCTCTCTACTTTGAGGAGGGGGGAAGAAGGGGAGAGTAGGAGAGGGTGAAGGGCTTCTTCCTAAGAGGACAGAAATGCCGTGGGCGTGGCCAGGAGCACTGAGGATGGAGGTGGGTTGAAGGGAAGGTAGTGGTTTGGGGATGGCTTCCCTTTCATACATAAGTAAGAAAGGTATCGTCCTGCAGACGTGGGTACTTCAATTACTGCGAAGTCATTTAACACATTTCTCAGCTGCTTGCCAAATACCAGGGTGTCTCCTCTGTTAAATCCACAGTCATAAAAAAGTTAAGAAAAAGAAAATACCATTGAAAATGTTATCATAATAAATAGGACAGTGTTATAATGATACAGACATAAGAATGAGATTCCAGAAGGTAAACCAACTTTAGAGGAAAATAATGTGTGGTGACTTCTCAAATTTTATTTTTTTGAATTACACAAGTGATCAACTCTCCTTATAAAAGATTTAATCATAATGTGTTGCCATCTAAAGCTCTCAATTTTTGAGTGTTATGGATGATTCATTAGTAGTTTACCTGGATCAGGAAATAAAGTTGAAATGGAATGATGCCATCAGAGACCATAATTTTGAAAAGTAATTTTATTATTAAATATTGCTTAGGCCTTTTAGGCTTTGACTTCTGAAAGTTGGCTCAAAATAATTAAAGAGGAATTAATCAAGCCAGGATCTTTTACATTTCATCTGTATCATTTATTTCCCTAAAAAGATATTTTTATTGGGCTACTGTGGTAATGTGACTTTAAGAAATATATATTTGGTCATTCAGATGGTCAGAATGCATTTCTCATATACATTTGGTCTTTGTTCAGGGTTCTTGACTCACAGCCTCCCAAAGCCCTTGAAATTTTCTGAGCAGTAAGAGCAATGAATGGGAGCATCTTTTGTCATAATATCCTGTCCTCAGTGCCCGGTGTCACCTGTGGAATCTGATACTGTCTCTCCATATATAGTGTCAGAATCAAGTTGAATGATAGGACACTCAGCTGGTGTCTGAGAATTGCACTCCCAGAGTGGAATTGGTACTAGAATCATAGTTGCTGATTGATTCCATAGTTGATTCAATAGTTAAAAGGTTTTTCTGAAGTGTCAGTGTGTTTGAGTGTCTAAAGTCTGCATCGTGAGCACTAGGGGGCCTCATAAGATCAGCAGTGGTAAGCCTAGCATTGTATTAGCGGTATTTTGAATACAAAGATTAGGAGCAGGCGCATTTAAATTCCAAGACCCCATTCATCCTGCTGAGATGCCTAGTTCTTAGAACAAAGTTTAGCTCCTGAACTATGTTAAACACTTAGCAGTCTTTAGAGATAAAGAGAGGATTTCAGCTCTAGGCTTTGGTTATAAATAGAGGCCATGTGTTATATGGCTCTCAAAGAACTGGATGTTGAGAAAAGTCTCACCTAGAATTTCAGATATTCAGGAACGACTTGGAAAAGCTCCCCTCATGTCCTGTTAGCTTTGCTGCAGGTACTAAGCCTCATTCAGCATTCATTGAGCGCGCTGCCCTTCTTTCAGTCCTGATAAAATTTGCTAATTTCTGATATCGGAAGTAAATACAGATTTTCCCCTTTTTCTCCTTTCCAGTTCTTATTTAAAAAAAAAAAAAAAAAAAAAAAGACAAGCCCAAGAGCTTCGTTTACTTCTGTGGACTTTATTTTTTGGAGTTATCCTAAGTCATTTTTTTTATAAAGATATTATGCATTTATTTTTAGAGAGAGGGGAAGGAAGGAAGAAAGAGGGAGAGAATCATTGATTGGTTGCCTCTCACATCGCCCCAACTGGGGACCCGGCCTGCAACCCAGGCATGTGCCCTGACCGGGAATTGAACTGGCAACTCTTTTATCCGCAGGCTGGCACTCAGGCCGCTGAGCCACACCAGCCAGGGCCTGAGTAAGTCTTTATTGCTTAATGAACAGACCCACAGGGAAATATTGTACCTTCTCAAGGCCCGGCCTGCTCGCCCCTTTCTTGTACCCTTTTCTCTAGCCAAACGCAGCCATTTACTGATTCTCATAAAAGCCTGTGATTTTCCTCTTTTCTTTCTTACGTCATTGCCCCCACTCCATGAAAGCTACAGAGAACCAGCATTTTTCAATGCTAAATTGGTAGAGTTCCCCAATCTTAGGTGATCCTTTTCTCCTCTGGATTCCTGTAGCACTTTACTGATACTTCTCTGAAGACATTCTTTACCTTTGGGCAGTCACTACAGCTTTTTGTGAAAATGTAGCTCTTTTCCTTTGTGAGGGTATGAGTTTCTTGAGGATAAACCTGTTTTATTTATTTTTGTAGTACCTGATAGTGGATGTTAAGTAAATTGCAGTTTACCAAATGCTTTATTCATTTAGAAAGCTACCCAGCTAATGTGAGTAGAGGTTATTCAGGAAGTGGTAGATGCATGGGAAATAGAAGGTAGATATCCCTTTGAATGATTGTGTCATGATATCTATCCAGTAACATAAAAGATTATACCAAAAAACGATCCTTTTGATGAGAACTTAGTATTTGGGAATTATTGCTGGGGTACCTTGCCTTAGCAGAAACTTTTTAGAGAACAGTATAATTATAAGAAAACTAAAATGACAACATATGTCTAGAAAAGCTCTATTTCAAACAGAAGAGGAAATACAAAGTTTAGAGGGTAATCTAAGTTCTGGACTGTGATATGCTTAGGTATGACTTGCAGAAAAAATACAGAGGCATTTATTCCATCTCAAACAGAGGCAATATGGCAATCTTTAAACATGTAATAATCTTTAAAAGCTGTTAAGAAGATCTAGCCCTGGCTGGTGTGGCTCAGTGGATTGGGTGCCGGCTTGCGAATTAAAAGGTCGCCCATTCAATTCCCAGTCAGGGCATATACCAGGATTGCGGGCCAGGTCCTCCCTTAGGGGTGTGCTAGAGGCAACTGTTTCTCTCTCACACAGTGATGTTTCCCTCTCTTTCTCTCTCCCTTCCTCTCTCTTTAAAAATAAGTAAATAAAATCTTAAAAAAAAAAAATCTAACTTTGGTCCAGTAACTGAAAAATGTGTACACAGCTATTGTCTTTTTCTTCTTGCTTGCATAGTGTTAAGATTTTAAAAACTCTTTTTCAATTGTTTATAACTGCATGGCTCTATAGTCCATCTATATATGTAGTCTTTATTCATTTGAAAATTACCAGCTTTTCTCTTTTTGGGCAACTCCTGGGAAGCAAAATGTTGATTGACTTCTCATTCTTAAAGGATAATCTTAAAAAGATGGCAAGTTGAAGCTGTAAGAGCAATAACAGTCAGCCTCAGGTTGTTACTTCAGTCCTAGGGACACTAACAAGGATGCTACCTGGTTATTTATAGGACATTCTAGAATGTCACTGCCTTGATGTGGTGATGTGAGTAGAATCTAATTTACTATGCATGTCACTCTTCTTCAGCATTTTTTAGTACTGTGCCATCTTAGTTCAGAATGATTCCTAGTAGTCAATTTAGTGAGAAAATCCTGATAGTTATTATACAGGACACTTAAAAAATTGTTTACAACTTACAATTCCCATTGCTTTGTTGTTTTCACAGAAACAGCTAACATACAAAGATGTCACACGTAGCAGTTACATACTTCAAAAGAATTTAGGGTGGGAATAATAATTGTTGCTAATGAAATTTTATAACAGTAATCATAAAATGCCACCATCAGTCTGATAAAAGGTGAAAGCAGTGAATAAAAAAGATGGCAGGTACGTTAGGTAGTTAAGTGGAATCATAATAATTCGAACCATTTTACCTGTATTAATCCTGACTTGTCTGTAGTTGACCTATATCAGAATCAGTACTAAGGCACACAGGTATTAATTAGGCTTAAAATTCTGCTAAGTTTTACTTCTCAGCCTGTAGTTTCTCCTGTCGCTGCTGTAACAAATTATTACAAACCTTCTTTCTGGAGGCCACAGTCCAAAATGAGTTGTACAGGGCTAAAATCGAAGTCTCAGCAGGGCTGGTTCCTTCTGGAGGTTCCAGGGGAGAACCCATTCTTTACTTCTCCCGTCTTCCGGGGACTGCCAGCATTCCTTGGTTTGTAGCCACATTACTCAGTCCCGACTTCTGTGGTCTCATTGGTTTCTCTTCTCTAGTCAAATGCCTTTCTTTTGCTTACCTGTGATTACATTTAGGGTTCAGCCTAACAATTCAGGATAACCTCCCCGTTTCAGAATCCCTGATTTTGAAAGGATTCGCTCTATGAGGGAACATTCACAGATTTGGGGGCTTAGGATGTGCATGTCATTCAGGGCCATTATTCAGCTTACCCCGTACCCCTTTATATACCTGGAAATTGACACAAAATGTTACTTTGATTAGGATCATTTCACTATTTCATTTAGAAGGAGACATTCTTTTAGGTTTTGATGTTAATGCAGAAGTTTATGGTTGGCTTTTAAAAAAAGTTTTATGAGTTTATTGAAGCCAAATTTTTGAGAACATACCCAGAAGCAAAATCTCAAAGGACTGAGAAAATGCTCTGGAGGGTAGCAGTTTTGAGTTCCTTTTACGCATTAGAATCAAAGGAGAAAACAAAAGGAAGGTGCATTAAATCTGTCCGGGGCGGATTAAGGAGGAACGAGAAAGCAAAATGGGGAAATCTCTAGTATTAGGTAATGGTTGGCTGTTAATTGACCCTTTTTTCTTGCTGATTGTGTCATTAGTGGTTCTTTTTTAAAATCACATTTATTGGGGGTGACGTATATTAATAAAATCATATAGGTTTCAGGGGTACAAGTCTATAATACAACACCTGTATACTGTACTGTGTGTGCATCACCTAAGTCAAATCTCCTTCCATTACCATTTTCCCTGCTTTCCCTCTGGTAATCGCCATACTGTTGTCTGTATATACATTAGTGGTTTTCTAAAAGTAATTCTTCAGCTTTATTACATCTATCAAATAGCAGTATACCCTAAAAAGAGGACTGTTTTGCACTTTCCTTTTTTGGTATTTGTAATTCTTCCCCTCGTTATCAGAATTGGATTAGAAGTTACCCAGGGAAAAGGAAGGAGAGTTCTATACGGTTATACATATGGTCTAATTTGGTGGGAATGGGTATGTTGGATTTGTTAGGGAATTGAAATAGAACACATTTACAGTAAATCATTTTAGATACTTTTATTTTTATCATGGTTTTCCCACTTTTTTTTTTTTAGTGTTTAAAAAACTGTGTTTAAGTTTTTGAGGAACTGTACACTTATTATTTTTAGTTTCATTCCTGAGAAATTTTTTCTTCTTTTTGAAAATCCAGGGCAGTGATTCTGGGGTTGAGATGGTGGGTGGTTTTTTTCAACTTCAGATGATCTTCTAGAGATTTAATGTTGAGAATAACTTAAAAGCCTGGCATGGTGCTCCTCCCTTGACCTGAAAATGAAATACTAAGGTGATCTGACCTACCAGAATAGTTTTTTTCATTTGTGTTTAATGGATTTTAATGCTTTTAGTTTTCTGTTTAATCCTATACAGAGGTTGTTGGCAACCTTAGTTGTTTTAGGAGGTAAGGATGCTTCCTAATTAGGATGATATTTATCCTTGTCTGGTGGTTTAGAAAGGAGAACTAGAATCCATTCAATAAAGATCTTTTCATATTTTAAAAAAATCATAGAGAAATATGATACTATATGTAACATTAGTTAAAGCCCTAAACAGAAGAAAATAGTTAAATGAATTCTGTTAGTATAATTATTTTGAAGATGTGATAGCAAATCAGATAAAGCCATGAGAGTAAAGTTTGTTTGAATATTAATTTAATATCTACAGTAATTGTTCCTACCTAGTAGGAATAAATTTGACTTTTTATCTAGTTCAAACAGTTTTAGTTATAGGTGAGGAGATCTATAAATATGTTACGAAGATGAAGAAATACAAGGTCCAATGAAAGATGAGTAAGGATGGGGTTGAAGAGTTTTGTGAGATGTCAGAAATTTAGTAACATTGAACTAAAATCTAAGGCTGAAGGATACAATGACTATGAGATCAACCATCTTTAAGTTATGAAGTCTCTACTGTACGAAAATAAGTATTAGAGTCTTCGAGAAGAATCCAGAATGCCCTGACTGAAATCTTTGATAATAATAAAACCTCAATCAGTTAAAATTATATTACCAAAATGTCCTGGAATGATGTAATTGTTTCAGGAAGAGGAAGGCAAATTTTAATCCTAGGGAGATTTAGAATTAGGTATAAAAATATTTGAGAATTTGACTCATGGTATTAATGGTTTTATGCTAATGAGGCAGTATGTATTTTTTTTGTAATCTTTTTACCCAGCCCAGTGGAGTAACATGTCAGTCTCCTAATTCCATTTTTGAATTTATAATTAATTGACTTATTATGGTGATTTTTAAATAGAAATCTCACCAAATTTGTGTATATATATGAATATTTATGAAAACTTAAGACTCACTATATTTATACATTTAATTTATTAGCTTTATAAAGATTATTTTAAGTACTCGGATACTTTTGTGATACAGACGGAATGTCTAACATAAGTAGAATGTCTCAGGATGTTTTAACTAAGTTTGTAAATGCTACCAAATATTATCCCAAATTCTTAAATTTTTATCCCCAATTTTTTTTTTTTTTCTTTATGAAGTATTAGACTTCATCCTTGCAGGCTGTTATTTGTGGATTAGCTTGAGCCTCACAAGGTTTGGCCCTGAGTCTGATTGGGGCAGACCAACAGCAGACCTTCCATGAGAGCTGGCTTTACTCCTCAGACGTGACCCTTCTTGGGTCTGCTGAACGTGCTCAGTGTTCAAAGACTCCTCTTCTTTCCAGCGGGTTAGATCTTGAGTGACCTTTAGCCCTTTGTTAAACTCTAAGAATTTTTCAGTTTATAAATCCCCAGTTATTCTTGGCCTCGTCTTGTGGAGTTCACACTTTGGCTTGATATTCAGTTCTCAAGCTCTTTCTTTGACAGCTTCCTCTTTCCTGTTTTCTACTCTATAAACTCCTAAGCCCCAGGTTCTTCATTAAATAGAAATGTCAGTATCTATCTCATGCTTGTGAGGACAGTTAATGAATTGATGAATATAAAGCATTTAGCAAAGTACCTGGTAAGTAGTAGGAGTGAAATAAATGTTACCGGTTTTACTGTTGTCGTTCTTATTATTATTGCTATTTCCATCTGGTTTGCATAACTATTTCAATAAATGTTTGTTGAATTAATGTATTAGTTTACAGTTACATTAATATTTTTACCTTATCCATAGTTTAAATTTGTTTGAAATTTTTAGAAAATAAGTAGCCTATGAATATGTTTGATAACATATCTTCTGGTAAATTTTTAAGATTTACATTCGCTACATGGTTAGAACAGAAATTGAAATACCCTCTTTTTCCATTTCAGAGACCTATTACTACATTTCTCCATTAGTTGGTGTCTTTTTCTTGGCCTTAACTCCTATCTGGATTATAGTAGCAGCCAAACATCCAGCCACAAGGACAGTTCTCCACTCGGGCTGGGAGCCGGTCATAACAGCCATGGTTATCAGTAGGTTAGTATTAACGCATGTGTGTTTGCGGTCCATATGCATGTATCCAAGTGTGTATTAACACAGTTCAATGGACTATTGCTATTTCATGGATCAATTACATTATGTAACCAATTCTTTACTATCCCAGGCAATTATAGATATATGGGACAGGAATTACTGAAATCAGTAGATGTATAGAACCTCATTTGGCTACCAGTTTCAAACTTCTCTCCAACCAAATCCTTATCAGATTGTTGAGGGAAATTTTGCGGGTGTGTGTGTGTGTGTGTGTGTGTGTGTTTGTATGTGTATTTTAACCTGTCAAGGACAGTACTTGTTTTTCATAGTAAATTGCTCAGGCAGCTATCAGAAAGCCTTAGAAACACGCATACCATTTGACTACTTCCACTCTGACAGCACCGATAGGACTTAAGGATATAATTAAGGACATACACAACAGGTTTAGTTACAAGGATTCTAATCACAGTGGAATTTTTAATCAAAAAGAAAAGAGAACTCCTTAGAGGCCTAGCAACCAGGTATTGATGGAATGAAGTGGGGCATAGTCACAGAATGGAGCATCAGTCAACTGTTAAAAAATAAAACTGTCGTATTTCTATGCATGTGGAAGGGTGTTCATTACACATTTGGTGAAAACAGTAAGCTAGAAGTGAGTACGAATTTCCTGTTACACATGGTAGATTGACTTGTGTTCATCTTCCTTCCCGAAAGTATTAAAATGACAGTAAAAGCATAAAAGGCTATAAAGCCACATGGAGAAGGAGAGCAGAGAGGACAGCAGGTGAGAAATTCCTAAGATGCAATCAGGTGGATGGTCTTTAACAGAGTGAAAAAAGCCTGCAGGGCAGGGACCCCTCTGAGCCTCAGAAACTCGGAGGGCGCAGGGATGAGAGGTCGTAAGTACCTCTGAAAGCCGAAGTGAAGATTGGCTGAAAGTGTGTAGTAACAAGCAACTGGATCATAAGAGCCTTCTCTAGTTTGACCACCCAGGTAGCTGCCCCTCCCACCTCGGCAGAATTAACTCTGGAGAGACTAAACCAGGGAGGCTCTAAGTTCAAACACCTGTACAAGTTAGGTTTATACTGCTGGCAGTCGGACTTATACCCCCGGGCAAAAAAAATAGGTAATATCTTTCTGGGGCAAGTCTTGAGCACCGTAGAAAAACCTGCGTGTACTGACCCTAGCAGGTTGTTTAGGGGAAGAGCTGCGCTCCCATCTGACCATGGCTCACAGAGGCCCACCTGCAGACAGGCTGTGTGCAGGTGCACAGGGCTCCGAGTGCTTCACAGGTCTTTTTTGAGGGGCGGGGCGGGGCGGGGGGCTGTGGCAGATTGTTAGACATTCGATTAAGGCAGTTAACATGAAATGCAGAGACCAAAAAAAAGGCACTCGAAGTCCAGGGATAGTTGAAAAACCTCAAGAAACTATTTCCAGTGTCATCAGAGAAATAAGAGAAGTTATGGCATCTACAGTTCTGTAACAACAGAATGCTTTAATAAGGATTGAAAAAAACAGGAAGAGCTCTTGGAATTTAAAATGTACAAAGAGCAGAAACAAAAAATTCAGTAGAACAGTTAGAAGATAGGGTTGAGGAACAATCCTGAAAAGCAGAACAGAGAGCGAAGAGGTAGACAACTGGAGGCAAATAATAAGGGGAGGAAATTATCAAGGAAGTAACATAAGAAAATCCCCCGGAACCGGTGATCATGGGCTTCCAGCTTGAAAGGGCCTGCCAAGGACCCCGCATGATGAATTGGAGTAGGATGAACTTAAATCAAAGCACATTATTATAAATCCCCAGAACTTCCAGAATAGGAAGTATTGGGAATCAGAATGATGTCCAGCAGCAACACCAGAAGTGATTCCTTCAAAATTCTGAAGGAAAATTATTTTGAATGTAAAATATGGTGACGTATTAACCAAATGTAAGGACAGACTCAAGAAGTTTTCAGACATGCAGATTTCAAAATATTTGCTTCCCATATACCCTTTCTATAAAAGCCAATAGAAGACAGTTTTATCACAATGAGGAAATAAGATGACATAGGAATGAGGAAAGCATACGGTTCATTTTTCTGTAATGTAGGCTGTTTTTTCCCTGGAGGATGCAGGCAATAGGATCCTGTGAAGTGCTGGGACTTGGTCGCAGTCCACAGACTAAGACTTCTCGCGGTGGCGGGGGGGGGGGGGGAGTGGGGGGTGGTGGAAGGGAAGGCAGGGACAACAGCTGTGCCAGGCCTTGCACACAGCGGGCCAGGCAAGCAGGGGGCAGGGGGCTTAGCAAGGAATGTCACTAAGAAAGGAAAATGGAATTGATTGATTACCTGCCTGAGAAGTTTGACTGTGTTTACAGGCATTTCATGAACTCTGCTGCAGATTTGAGGCTGAATTAGTACTAAGGAGCTAAAAAAGAAAACTAAGAAAAACAGGAGACAAAGCAAAAAGGACAAGTGAGGAAATCTAATAATATGCTGCACTGTCAGTTGTGAATTATGATCCCATTGTCATAAAATAGTAAAACCTAAATGTTTTACCCGAGCTGATAACCAGGTTGTCAGGATAGGGAGAGAAAGAGAATTTGAAGGGACTGAAGTAAAGAGGGAAGGGTGAGACTAAATCCTCATCTGCCATAGTGGATGTTATTAATGTTTAAAATTAAAAATCAAGAAATAGTAGAGGCTTATACAAGATGGCATAGAATGGGAGAACACATTTGCCGATACATCTGATAAGGGCTTAATATCCAAAATGATAGAAAACGTACAAAACTCAACACCAAAAAAAACAAACAACCCAATTAAAAAATGGGCAAAGGACCTCAATATATACTCCCCCAAAGAGGACATACCGGTGGTCAATAGACATGTGAAAATATGCTCAATGTCACCAGTCATCGGAGAGATGCAAATTAAACCCACAATGAGGTACCATCTCACACCTGTCAGAATGGCCATCATCAACAAATCAACGAACAACAAGTGCTGGAGAAGATGTTAAAAATAAAATTTAATAAAAGTGAAGAAAGATACTTTTATAATTTAAGGTTTTATTTTTATGTTTTCATTCTGCCTTTTTTATTTTTTAGAACTAAGTTTTATTTCATGAATGTGGGAAATTTTATTTTTTAAAAATATACATGTTTAAAAATGTCTGGGAGGCTATTACTAACATGCGTACAGTATAACTCTGAATGATATACTACAGTTGATTTTTCTTTTTTTGTTTGTATTTTCTAACTTTTGTGTAGTAAGTTTTATTACCTGGGTAACAATATTTTAAAATATTTTTTAGCAAGTGTTCATTATATGTTTACACTATTATCTATGCATTTTAGCAGGGAGATTTATTTTTTGAAACATAACTGATTTTTTATGAATAATATATTTTTTAAAAATCATGCTTAAAATATTCAAGTATTTCTAAGGATGACTATTTTTGGATTTTATAGTGGACCTTTTAATCAGGACTCCTCAGTTTAGGTATATTAAGCTGTTCATTTATTATACTAAAGACTTAAAAAGATTTAATAATTTCCTAATGTAAACTATCAAGTAGTGGTAACAATCTTTGATCTGATATTTTGACCATTAACCCATTCTGTGATAGCATATAGTTCATTTTCTGTAATGTGAATTACATTTTCTTAGAAGATTTAGGCAATGAGGTTTCATGGAATATTGGGACTGGCAATGTTTTATTGTACGTAGATCAAAAGACTGAAGTTAACCAATTGATAATGGTCTTGGAAGCTTAAGTCTCTCCACTCCGTTGAGACATTGGGAGTGTATGGGTGGCACTACATATGTATCTGTATGTTATTTTTCCAGACCTCTGTTTTCAAGATCAGCTCTTTCTATGGCTGTAACTCACTTTTAATTTACCAGTGGTAAGACATACCCTAACTCTATCTAGTTTTAACACAATAAAAATCATCCCTTTACTGCCTCATTTCAAATATGAAGATACTCATTTAAAAATTATTTTTAAATTATAAGAGCAATAATGCACATGATTTAAAAAATTTAGTAAGTACAGAAATATATAAATGACCATTATTCTCCTCTCAGTCTCAGCCCTAGAGATAGACATTGTTAATAACTTCTTGTATGTCCTTACATACATTTTAATGCTCTTAAAATATATGTTTTTCTTTTTTACAGTAACATATCTTGGAGATCAGAAAGAACCCTGAAATGTGGGACTACGGCTTATGCCATGTTTTATTTTCAACATTTTGTTATCGACATTTTTTCCCAAGATTTTGTTTATTTGTTTTTAGAGAGAGGGGAAGGGAGGGAAATGGAGAGAAACATCAGTGTACAAGAGAAACATCGATTGGTTGCCTGTCTCATGCCCCCAGCTGGGGACCTGGCCCACAACTCAGGCATGTGCCCTGACTGGGAATCGAACCAGTGACCTTTCAATTCTCAGCCTCATGCTCAGTCCACTAAGCCACACCAGCCAGGGCTTGACACTGATTTTTACTTTGAATATTTTTTATTTTATTTTTTAATATCTAAATATTTTATATTTAAACATAGGGCTGTTTCTATAATATAAAGAATGGCTTCAAATTTGTACATTTCTTTTCCTCTTCTCTAAATTATATCATTTTTGTATCTTTCAGCATTGGAGGCCTTATTCTGGACACAACTGTATCTGATCCAAACTTGGTTGGGATTGTTGTTTACACACCAGTTATTAATGGTAAGAATTAGATGTACTGTTTCACAATGATACCAAATCTCTATATACTCTTAGATGCTAATAGGAGCCTTAGGGCTCAGATTTAACGAGGGCTATCCACACATCCCCATTCATTCTTTCCTAATCTCCAGGTTGCTTCTCTCAGTGGAAATGACATTTCCTTTTCTCAGTATGCTGAACACATTGCTGAAAAGAGCTGTTTCTTAACCTTATCATTATGTATTAGTTTGAGAGTCTGGCATACCTGATTTTTAAGGGTAGTGAGGCAAAATACAATGTTTCAGTTCAGGTACTTTGGGCTTATCTGCTGTCTTGTGCTGTTTTATTGCTGCTATCGATTTTTGTGGATAAATTGGAGTTAGCTCAGTTTACGCATTGCTTGAGTCACTTCAGTCCATTAAAATCCATCATTTTCCCCCAATAAATTTAATAAAAATTTTTTAAAAAAGACAAAAAAAGTCCATCATTCCTCTGCTGGTCTCTTTAAATCTACCTTATGTGTTTTCTTATCTATAAAATGGAAATTACAATACTTAAGTTCACAGGAATTTTTATGGGTTCTGTTTAATAAGATAATTTTAATCCAGCCCTACTGGATTTGGGGCTGGCTCTCATTAATTGGATTTTAGTGTAGCCAAAGCCAATATAACTTAAAGGTAATTCAACCTGGGGAGAAACATGTCACAGGATATACTATATATTTAATATAAATTACTTTTGTGTATTTATATATATAAGAAACTGTTATATGAAGGCAAGTTCTCCAAACCCTAATTTCATGTTTAAAATTCCTACTCTACAGTTACGTTTTCGTATAGCATCAGAATGACCGTGAACAAATTTCCCCTACCAACCCTCCCTCCCAGTTTTCCCGGTGACATCGTTCTCCTCACCACCCACCCTTCAAGTCAGGGAGGCATCTGATTCAACCATGCCCTTCATCTTCTCTCAGTGGACAATGACCCAGCGTTGTTGATTTGCCCTTTACCATAATTTACTCGTTCACTTATGGCAAAGAAGCATATGTCAGCGCTCTAGTCTGCTCACGCCTCACTCCAGACATCGTGCAAGTAGCAAAGTAGCCTTCCCACTCACTCCCTGTTCACCGCAAATGAAATGTCACTATCAACTGGTCTTAAACTTTTTTTACTACATGTCTTAAGATGCCTTAAACTTTTTTTTTTTATTACATGTTTTAAGATGATAAACAGCAGTGGTTTCCCCTGCGTATCAAATTCAGTTTGAAATCTTCTGCCCAGCTCCCAAGGCCCTCTACCTGCTGTCGCACACGTGCGCCTTTTCCCTGGATTATTCTACCCGATTCCCATGTCGTGGCTCTACAGAGTTCCAGCTTCCACTGTCTGGAATGACTGCTGCTTCCCCTCCACCTGTTCAGATCCTCTTCAGTGAATATTAGTTGATGAATCTGCTAGCAGAAAGATTACATATTCATGATTGCTAGAGCCGTATTGTCCAACACTTCACTGAGAAATTGAACTTCAATGACAACAATTCATGATTAGTAAGGGTTTAATAAATATTTCTCTTATTTCATCTGACATAAACAATTCTAGAGCTTTGCAGTATTCCTTTTACCCTGGATGGTGGGTACGTGGGTTTTGTTGTATGATTCTTTGTAGATTATATATGTTTTATAAATATTTTTGTATTTATTGAATATTCAGTACAAAACAATGAAAATCTTGGAAGTAGCACTTTTAGATTTCTTGTTAAATGGCTGACTGTGAAAAGAATGGAATAAGGGTAACACCTAGGAGTTGAAATGAGGAATTTTCTCCAAGATAGGAGAGATGTAGATATGTTTATTGGCCAGGGGGCAAAGCGTAATAGAGAAGGGAAGATCGAAGGCATGAGATTGAGAACAATGAGGCAGCAAGGCCCATGAAATGATGGACTACCAGTAGCCTAGGAAGGAAAGGATTAGTTTTTTGTAGTAAGAAAAGGAGTCCTCAAGAGAAATGGGGGAAATACAGGGGCAGGGCCTAGGGGATAGAGACTGAGACAAAGGGCCTTACTTACAATGACAGCCTTATATGTCCCCCAAAAATAGACAGGTTCATTTCTCTAGGGCAGTGTTTCCCAACCTTTTTCATGTCATGGCACACATAGAAAATTATAATTTTGGGGTGATGCACTATGGTGAAAAAGGAGGCCACTTGTAACCTCAGGCCTAGCCTGCCCCTGCAGAGCTTAGAAGGTCAGTATCTCAACACACCTGTAACCCGTTCAAGGCTTACTGGTTGGGAAGTTCTGACCAAAGGCAGTGTTTCTCAACCACTTTTTCATGATCACACCTTGAAAGAGCCATTTTAAGCTTTTTCACCCCCTAAATTGTGCTTACCCATGAAATTTTAATATCATAGATACCTTGTTTATCCATTTATGAATTGTATGTATACCTACTCTGTATACATAAAATGAATAAGATTATGTTCTGTTCCCCCAAACCGATTTCTGTCCCCATGATCTAACTGTAGCCAGTGTGGCTCAGCTGGTTGGAGCATCATCCTGTGAACCTGAAAGTCATGGGCACAGTTCCTGCTCAGGGCACACGCCTGGGTCGCAGGTTCGGTACCCAGTCAGGCCCCATGCAGGATGCACCAGTTGGTGTTTCTCTCTCACATCGACGCTTGTCTCCCTCTCACTCTCCATTCTTCCCCTTTTTCTACAATCAATAAGCATATCCTCAGGTGAGGATTAAAAAAAAAAAAAAAGAATTCATGATCTAGGATAATGGAGATGGACACTTTGGAGACTTTGTCAGTCATTCATTGGGTTGTCTGCAAGTCCACTGGAAGAAAGTGGCAAAGGGTAATGAAGCAGGGACTTGGGAAGGGAATGTGCTTAGATGAAAGGGTGTTCACTATGAGGGGTAATGTGTAGTAGTTCTGAGAAATATGAAAAAATGGAAGCCACATGCCCCCCACCCCTTTGCAGTTCATGAAACTAAAAGGGTAATTCCTGCATGTGAGTTCTAATAAGGAGCCATGAAAGGAGGACAGGTGACAGTGCGGAGGTGTGGTGAGGTGGTCAAAGTATGCAGGGGTGTATGGGAGACAGGAGAGTCGCTGTGCTGTTCATTAGAAGGGTTTCCTTTCTAACAGAGTGAACTTTCACTTCAGGTCCTTGGGGAGAGTCAATGAATTCTTGACATAATTTGAAATATATTCTATGACATGAGTGCTAAACATTTACTGGAACCCTGTATTTCTAAATTTAACAAAACATGAAGTTGGATTTTACAGCAGCTCTTAGATAAAGCTGCTGATGATTTATCTATCCCATCAAACTTTATGTTATTAACTGAGCTTATTCTAGCATAAGGCACTTAAAAATTGGGTCTTGTGGATACTGAATTAGTGGACACTCTCAACTAATTATTTATATATTGACAAAGCTGTTTTTACTTATGTTATTAATTTATGTGACACAATCTTCACATGCTCTCCATTAACTTTAGTAATGTGATTAGTCTAAAGAATTTAAGCAACTTCAAAGAAGTGCAGATAGAATAGCTCTTAGTAGAAATATATGTATATCATGATCACAAGAAAGGGTTTTTCACATTAAAGAAAGAGCTATTCCAAGGTAATAATTCTGCTATAGTTTAAAAATATAACTGATCATGATGAGATCATAATGGGGTTTCAACCCCATGAGAGGTTAAAACTAAAATAAGTTCCCATACTAATTACGTTTTTTACTTTAAAATTTTATTCACCTTATCTGGAAAAATTCTACCAGACTCTCCCTAAAGTCCTGATTCATTTTATTTTTAGTTTGATGTATTTTTAGTTTGGTGCAGTTTTAACACCCGTGTGTCTGTGTTTCCCGGACCAGTGAGTGAGGCAGGTCAGGGAATGGCAAGGAAGAGGAAAATGACAAGTGGATTATTTATAAGAGTTTATTTGTATTATCATCTCTGCTAATCTGGACATGGTAATGAAATGATAAAAGTACTTCTATAAAGTTCTTTGTGGTCCTTTAGAAGAGACTTATAGCTAATCATTAGTAGCCTTTTGTTTCAAATTCAATTATAGATAGAATAGATATTCTCAGGTTTAATGGCTCATGCTTTCTGCATTTGCATTGAAGCCTTCTGTATCTAATAAAATACTAAATCGAACATTACTCCCAGGAGAATGCCCAGAATACATGAAGTTGAAATGGAAACCACCCTTTATGTGTTCCTACGGCAAATATCTAACATTGAAAAATGTATCTGAGTGCTCTGCATTACATATAATTATGTATAATTCTTAATATTCAATTCTCCTTTGGGGGGCTCTAAAGAGAAACAATAGATGAGCCTTTACAATGTCCAGAAACTGTTGTGTCTTTCATGTATGACTTATTTTATCATCATCATCATCACCATTTACATTTGTTGAACCTTAACCATGTTCAGAAACTGTTGCATCTTTCATGTATGCATTATTTTATTCAATTCTACCTCATATGAGTTAGATATTAAATTATTATTTTACAGATTACAAAACCGAAGTTCCAAGAGGTTAAACATAATTGAAGTCACAATAAGTGACTGAGGCAGTTTTCAGACCCATATCATCTGAGCCAGCGTGAACTCTGCAGGGGACAGAGCTAAGCATTTATGTGCCTTAATTATTCAACCTAGTCAATGTGACTTTGTTTCCCTTTCAAACACATTTGAAAAGACATTTATTTTCCTTTAGAAAAATTTTCAGAACTTCCTGGGATGCATTTTTAAAACATTTTTATGAAACTGTATTTTATGTTATTTTAAGCATTTGCTTTTAATGAAATTTTTATTTACTGAATGAGATGTGGTGAGGTAATTGTGCATATCATAAATTTATCATGAGATGCCAACCTTGGATTGGGATGATGCTCTAACCAAATGAGATACCCAGCCAGGGCCTTATTCCCATATATGCACTTTGGACTATAAGTGTGCCTCTTAGGATTGCTTTAGCTGCATCCGATGTGTTTTTGTATGTGGTGTTTAATTTCCATTCAATTACAGATGTTTTCTAATTTTTAATATGATTTCGTCTTTACTCACGTTATTTAGATACATATTATCTCAGTTTTCAGATAGTGGGGGCATACATCAATTTTTAATACAGGGTTTCTCAGTGTTGACACCACTAACATTTGGGGTCAGATAATTTCTTGTGTGGGGAGTTTCCTGTTCACTGTGGGATGTTTAGCAACAGTTTATGCCTAGAAATAGGCAGGCTTTTTCTTCTGTGAGGTCAGCAGTAGGGAGGATTGAGCCAATCTAGTCAGTAGTTGAGTTAGGTTTTTTTTTGGGGGGGGGTGTTAATTATACGTACCTTTAGTGCACCACTGATTCCAAATTTCCTTATTGATGAGCTCCTCCTACCTTATGCTTACTGTGAAGCCTGGATTTACAATAAGCCTGCAGCATGGAATGCTTAATAAATCTGTGCTCTGCTCCTCTTCTCACAGTTGGCTGCTGATTCTTGTTACTTGGTGCAAGGCATGGGATGGCGTTTGGGATTCTCTTGCACTATTTTCAACCTTAGGCCTATATCACCCTATGCACTTGGTCCTCAGAGGTGAGGCTTTCTCGATGATTCTTCCTCTCCTGCTATTGGCGGTCAGACTCTGCCTGGATGGGCTTGAGCAAGATTTTTCTCCCACTCCTTTAGCAGCAGTCAGCTTTGCTTCTACTTTTCCTCCAGTGGCAACTGATCTTTCTCTGGGATCAGGTAGCAGTCCTGTTCCTTCCGCACCCCAGGCAGCTTTTGCTTCATATGACAGAGGGTTTCAGAAATACGTGTGATTCTTACGTGTGTGCCACCAATATTGGTTGCTTCACATCTTCTGCCCTGCATCGTCTGCCTCACAAGCTCTCTCCCGGGGGAGGCCTGGAGAAATGGCTGGCCAGTGAATTTGGACTCCTTTTGTGTCTGGGCCTCCCAAGTATGCTGGCCCACACTCAGCATTTAAGAATTTGAGATTCTCAGTTGTTTCATCCCTCTTGCTTTTATGACTAATGCCTCTTCCATGTTCTGTCAAAAGAGAAAGAGTTTGGGTGTCTTATCTCACCTTGGTGGGCGGGGCTGGGAGGTAGGGCTTGCCAGTCTTTGGGTTTAATTTTACCTCTTGACATCAATTCTTCTCAGAGTGTGTGAGAGCATAATTTAGACTAAAAGGTGAGTTTCTTGAGGTTTTTTTCTTCTTAGTGCTGTTTATGGATTTCTTTAGTAACCTGAGAAGAAAAGTATCAGGCATTGTCTATCTGAATAAATCTAGCTTATTTTCCCTCTCATTAAGATAATAGACATGATACATATTGTTACCTAGTTTTATATCTTGGTCTTGATAACTTTTAAAAATGACTTATTTCGATCTGCTTTCAGACCAGACAGTAACTCAGATTTGAAAAAATAATGAAAGTCTTCCATAACAATTTTTTTTTTATGCCTTTGGAATATCTACCTCAACTTAAATAAATCAGCATTTCAGAAGAACTTTTTGTTTTATTGGCCCCGGATGTGACATAGAGAGGCTTACAGTTATTTGAATTTGTGCAGGTTGTTTAAAACATGAAGCTACCTACGATGTTTTCCCGTGTTTCAGGTATCGGTGGTAATTTGGTGGCCATTCAGGCTAGCAGGGTTTCTACCTACCTCCATTTACATAGCGTTCCAGGAGAACTGCCTGATGAACCCAAAGGTTGCTACTATCCATTTAGAACATTTTTTGGTCCAGGTATGTGCTTGTGAATTTTTATATATTTTATTTCAAGAATTATTCCACTCTGTGAGTGTAGGCGGACGTTTGTTGAATACGTAATTTGTTTGCAAGTATTGCACAACTTTTTTATTTCTGAGCGCTGAAGAGATTTTAGATAGAATAGATTTTGTTCATTAAATCTCAGTGAGCAAAAAAATCATTTGTATAAATTCAGCAACTGCTGAAGAACTTTCTATAATTTTTCTCTTTTGTCCATTTCCCTGAGTCATCTTGTTTATCAGTCAGGAAAGAAACCTCATGGACACAAGCAAAGCAAACATTGTTAGACAGATGTACTGTCTTTCCTATATTTATCTTTTTGGCATTTCTAAATGTAGGCATTTAATCCCAGACAAACAGGATGCGGGAGGATAACCTCAGTTACAAGGAATAATGCATTATTTATGCCAGCCAGACATGTGATTACCAAAACACTAAAACAACAATTTTACTTTATTTCATTATATTTTATATTTTATTTATTTATTTTTAGAGAGAGGGGAAGGGAGGGAGAAAGAGAGGGTGAGAAACATCGATCAGTTGCCTCACACGCTGTCAACCTGGGACCTGGCCTGCAACCCAGGCATGTGCCCTGACTGGGAATTGAACCAGCAACCTTTTGGTTTGCAGGCCAGCACTCAATCCACTGAGCCAAGGCAAAGCAACAATTTTAAACCTCATAATTCTTGTCATTGTTTTTCTAATGAAAATCAATTGTTGACTTTTGAATGAGGATCAGAAATGCCCTGGCTTGTGATATCCATGAAAGAACTCTAAAGGAAAAGTAGAATGAAAACATTTCACTACTTTAAGAATTTTTTAGTTTTTCTGTTGTCTTTCCTTAGTTTTTAGGATAGATATTAAAGCCTGACCAATGTTCTTAATTGCAAATGTTTATCAACCATCTTTTATTTAATTAACATGTAACATATAGTGAGAAAATTTCAAAGAATTAAGTGAATTGTAAATAGTTGAAATTTATTTTTAACAATTGAATTTTATGTGATGCTGTGTGGTGTAGTAACTAAAAAGTAATCCTCAAATTTTAATAACTGTGACCTATTATTAATCAAAATATGATTTTGTTTTAACAACTTTTATATTTTATATTATAGGAGTAAATAATAAGTCTGCTCAAGTTCTACTGCTTTTAGTGATTCCCGGACATTTAATTTTCCTCTACACGATTCATTTGATGAAAAGTGGTCACACTTCTCTAACTGTAATCTTCGTAGTAGTATACTTGTTTGCTGCTTTGTTACAGGTAAGAGTTAAAACTGCTTATAATCTTTTTTTATGCTCAGATTCATGTAATAGTATAATTATGTAAATGTAAAGGCACATGAAATATTTTAACATTTTAAAAATTAACTTACCGCCTTCCTATTGATTTGATCTTCTTTAAACCAATTCCTTAGGGCCTGTTTTAATATGATCTGATCAATAGAACCTTTGGATTTCCTGTTTCCTGGATTCCATGTCTTCCTGTTTTTCATTCTCTTGTTTTATATGAATACATCTTCTAATAAATTCCTGAGAAAGAGTGCATTGGAGGAAATATTTTGAGCCTCTGCATGTTGTAAAATGCATTTATTTTTACATGGGTATGTTGACTGGATGTAGAATCCTGTTTCTTCTAGGATTTTGAAGATGTTGCTTCCTTGCCTTGTGATTTTTCCCATTACCTTTGAGAAGAATAGCAGAGGCCATTCTCACTGCTGATTTCATTGTACAAAACTTTTCTCTCCCTGGAAGCTCACAAGATCTCCTCTTTTCACCCATTGTTCTTAAATGTCATTTTGATGTGCCCTGGCTTGGGGTGGGGGTGGGGGGCGGTCAGTGTATGTATTTTTTTAAATTTAATTAATTAATTTTTTTTACAAAGGCATTTAGTTTATTCTCCTCCTCAGCGTCACCGATGTTCTCATGTTCACATTTCCCAGCGCGCTGCTCTCCTTACAGTAGTTAATGTGCGGTCTCACAGGCCGGGTAAGGGACGTTGGGTATATTTTTATTGTTTTGGGGGCATTGTTTGGGAATCTAAAAATTCATGTTCTTCAGCTGTAGGAAAGTTTTTTGAATTACTTCTTTGGTCACTGTCTCTCTCTTTCTGGAATCTTACTAGGTTCCTAGAACTCTCACATTAAACTTCTTATTTTTTATTCTCTATATCTTTATCTTTTTTTTCTTCTCTTTTTGGGAGATTTTTGTGCCTTTCTGAATCTTTTCTCTGTTGTGTTACTGAAGTTTCTGGGGAGAGTAGAGTCGAATGCATATGCTCAACTTGTCTTTACATGAAGGTTGTTACTTTTGAAATGTAAGGAAATTGCCTTTATTTTCAAAATATGTGCTCAAAATAATACATTTACAAAATTTTAAAATTAAATAGTACACAAGGGTTCTTACCTTTCAAGCAGACAGTCACTTTGAAATATTTTAGCAATTTCTTCTGGTATTATCTGTAAGTTTTAAAGTGATATGCCTAAATTTTTAGTTTTTTATTAATTTCCTTTATTTAGATTTTTGCTAATAAAAGTTGAGAATTCAGAGACCCTATTTTTGTGTTACTTACTTGTGTTTCCCCAGCACCTAGCCCTAGCCCTCGTGTTCAGTTAGTGTTTGTTAAACTGAATGACTGTATCTTGCCAGCTCTGTTTACATCTGTATTTAGGTCCCAGATAGCCTAGGGAAAAAAACCCAGAAAAATCTAAATTTTCTTCTCCTTGCTTTCAATAAACACCAATTTTCTCACTGTCACTGATACAGGTATTTAAAATAAAAAGCAATGAAAATAAAATACAGAACTTCACAAATTCTATCAAAGTTAAGTCGAAAGTGTTAAGGATTTACTGAACTGTTTAGAGATGAAATGACTCGGTATCTAGGGAAAGCACAAGGTAGGGGTATTCTTGTAGATAAAGCAAAATTGGTCATGAGTTGATCATTGTTGAAACTGAGTGATGGCACATGAGAGTGGTATGGAGTTGGCTTGTACTCTTCTGTGTACTTTTGTGTATATTTGAATTTTGCTATAAAAGAAACTTTAAGAGTTTTTCAGTGCATATGAGCTTTCTAATTTTGGTCCTGCGTTTATTTCTCATGTCAAGTGAAAGATAGAAAGTCAGCTTGTGTTTGAAATTGTTTGGGACTTGGAATGGTCGAGTTCGTGTCCAATTTGCACCCTGAAATCATTATGTCTCAAATTATGTTGTTCAGGTATTTATTATGGGTTTTGCACTTAGAAGGAACCTAACCAATGTGTTTTTGTTATGTGATGTTAAGGGAACTGAACCACAGACAGTAGATGTGAGGGATTGTTCTGTTTTACGCACGTTCTTGCCCAAGGCCCAAGAGCAGTCAGAGAAGTTGGAATTGGCTCAGGCCTGGTACTCAGTTGGTTAGAGCATAGTCCTGATGCACCAAAGCTGACGGTTCAATCCCTGGTCAGGGCCCATACGAGAATCAACCAGTGAATGCATAAGTAAATGGGACAGCAAATCCATGTTTCTCTCTCTATGTCTAAAATTAATTTTAAAAAACAGAGTAGTTGGAATATGTCAAGGCCAGAGTAATGTGCAAAAGGCATTCATATTTAGTACCTGATCAATCATATTACATTTTGTTATTTTTTTTAGTAGTGGAGATGAGTTGGTACCAAGCTGACCACCCTGTATTGCCCATTATACCTCCTGAGCCATCAGTCAGGATTTATGAGATTGCTGGCTATGGTTAAGGGTATAATTGTTGACATTAGAACACAACTTTTCATCTGTATCAAATTAGCCCATTGAACCTACAACTTTGATTTGCTGGAACCAGAGTGCACTCTCTTCTACAAACTTAGAGACAGCTGGGTTCCTTCTCTCGAAGCACTGATTTCTTCTGCCTTCAATATTACTTACTCAGATGTTCCATTGACTGCCTAAATAAAATCTGCTAATTTGTAAAATCAAAAGCATAATATGGAATTCTAGGCTGTGATGGACCTTGTTGGGATTCCATCTAAGATGTACAGACGGGAGTCTGTTCTTCAGGGTTTTCTGTCTCTAATTCATGCCTGCCTTGTCCCCTACTGTCTTTTTCAAGGATGTAGTACCTTGACTGCATAATAAACCTGAGAAGGTTCAAAGATAACTATCAATCACATACACAGGCTGGCAATCTCTTGAGCCAAGAAGGAACAGCAGTACATTGTGATTCGTTTTCCTATTTTATTTAAAGCCTCTACTAGTTCCCCTTTGTGTTAGAAATACTTTCTTTGTGAAAAGACAAAAGCATAGAGTTTGGATGACATACCCTACAAGAGGCAAAAAGATGGAGTATGTTGACATTTTTTTTCTGAAGTGTCTAAATGGGAAAAGAAAAATGAGACTTTTCTAGCCCTAGGTGCCTATTGGATTCCAACAAAGTGTTTCATATAATTGGTAGATGGTGCAAACCCATTCTAAATGAAATTTTTAGTTCCCTATTTTGAGATGTGTTCCTTCAGAAAATTAGCTACTCAAAAAACTACAGAATTCTAGCAGCACCAAGTCCTACAAGAAACTGTGAAAGTTTGGTTGTAGAAAAACATTGCTCCTGGCTATATCTGTTTATTTCACATGGGAGAGAGAAAATGTTTCCTCTAAATGGTGGAATGACAACAAATTCTCAGTATGTAAAATTAAGAATTGTAAATATCAAGGTTTTATCAAATATATAGTACATATAGTATTCCAAGTGCTGTGCTTGCCACTGTACAAAAGAAATAGGAGACATTGTCCCTGCCCTTTAGGATCTTCCCTTAGCTGTAGGAGATTAGAGTTAAATGCATGGAATCCTTAGCTAGGAAGGAACCTAAGACAATCTCCTTACAACAATAGAGTCTTCTCCCTCCCTCACTTCAGAATCAAACTTGGTGCCTGTGCCTGGCTTTCATTCTTTAAAAGTACTTTAAAAGATTTTTTTGGGGGGGCATGGTGTGTGTGTGGGGGGTAATCAGAGTATAGAGTATAGCTGATGAGAAACTTAAAGTAATGTCAATAAATATGAAACTACTCTATAAAAAATTATCATTGAATTTATTGCTACTATAGTAAAGAAAATTTCATATATTATCATTGTAATAAAACATACATCCCAGTATTTTTATACACATAACGCAAAGTAATGGGTATCCTAATCAATGTTCTTTGAGACTCAAGTCACTGAAACCTACTGGCACTTGCTTACACAAAAATGGGAACTTCCCAAGAAATAGAAAGCTAGATATGGAATTGGAGGGGGAAGGAAGACATTCCCATCTTCAGAGGGAGAGAGATAGAGACCTACAAAGCATTCTGCCTCCACCACCATGACTCCCAGGCTCCTTTACGATGCGTAATCTTCCATCTTTACTTGATTTGTTCTTTCTTTTCTTTGTTTAAGAAACACTTGATTTTTTAAATTTTATTTTATTTAAAAAAAATTTTATTGTATTTTTTTCCATTACCATTTAATCCCCCTGTACCCCCCTCCCCCCAGCAATCACCACACTGTTGTCCACGTCCATGAGTGCTCTTTCCTTTTTGCTCAGCGCTTCCACCCTCTAATCTCCCGCTCACTTAGCTGTCATCTTGCTCTCTATCTACAAGTCTGTCTATATTTTCCTTTTTAGTTCAGTTCATTTTCCACATGAGTGAAATCGTATGGTGTTTGTCTTTCTCTGACTGGCTTATTTCACTTAGCACAATGTTCTCCAGGTCTGTCCATTCTGTCGTGAAGAGTAGACTTTTCTTCTTTTTTATGGCCAAGTAGTATTCCATTGTGTCAATGTCCCATAGTTGTTTTATGCACTCATCCACTGATGGACACTTGGGCTGCTTTCCATATCTTGGCGATTGTAAATAACCCTGCAATGAACATAGGGGTGCTTATGTTCTTTCAAATAGTATTTTAGGTTCCTTCAGATATATTCCCAGAAGTGGGGTAGCTGGGTCAAAAGGCAGATCCATTTTTAATTTTTTGAGGTATCTCCATATTGCTTTCCACAGTGGATGCACCAGTCTACATTCCCATCAACAGTGCAAAAGGGCTCCCCGTTCTCCACATCCTCACCAGCACTTGTTTGTTGATTTATTGATGATGGCCATTCTGACAGGTGTGAGATGATATCTCATTGTGGTTTTAATTTGCATCTCTCTGATGCTTTCTGCATTGCACTTCCATGGCAAAACTCTGCCCCACAGGCAAACAGCATGAGTTCCATTCATGGGGACAATGGAGCAGTGTTTGCTTCTCCATGTC